CTCCTGTATGCCAGGCGAGGTAGTTAACATCTCACCAAGAATAGGTACTCGTTGGTTCTTTTGGTAAAGTCACGCAACACAAGCGTCCACCACCTGATGACGGACGCTTGTGCTGCGCCCGAAACGTCGTGATTTATTTTATACCTACGTGACTTTACCGAAAGAACCAAAGAGTATGGTGGATTCCTGCAGTCACGAAGCTTCAAATCAAGATATAACAATAAGGTTTACCTTTTTTGGAAATAAAATCGCCTTTTGGCGTTCTCTGGTTTAAGACCGGTTGAGACTAGGCCCTAAAGAAGGCTGTCTGGTGTAGACCAATCAGTTTCAAACACAATGCACACATTACCAAAGCATGTTTTTTTTTGCATGTGGTAAATGCAGACATGATTCCTTGCAAAAGCGTTCCATTTGGTGTTTGAACATCTTAACACAACTGTTTTATTGCCAGAAAGGGTACAATCTATTCCTATATTACAAAACTATACGAGACTATGTTTTATTGTACCAGGTAAAGCCGCTCTTTTTCAGAAGCGACCTTGCCACAAATGATAGCTCAACAAAGTGGCTCATGTGGAAATGTCTAGCAGCCAAATACTCTTAAACAATAAAAACCGGGCATCCCAAATTCGCATCCTACTCACGGCCAACACCACTGACGATTATTTATCTGAACCAGTGCTGAGCCTTTCCTACGATCAACTCAGCCTTCCATGAAAACATCATCCCTGGGGATACAAAGACGGCCGGGAGTTGTGTTGGCCACCCACCCCCCTTTTGTGTGCCGTGCCGGCCCCTAATATGCGCTCTCTAACAGCATTTGCATCCCCAACAGTCGATTAAGGGCTATACGGAGGGGAGGGGAAGAGGTAGGGGATGGGATATTTGATGCGTGAGGACCACCCCTGCCTGGGTTGGTCGCGTGGTTGGCTGAGCCAGGCTGAGCCAGGCTGATGAGCCAGGCTGAGCCTCGTCACCCGTGAGCCCAGGCTCTCACTCGACCGCTGCGCTCTCTCCCAGGTAAGAACGGGGCAGTTGATGTCGCTCGCTCGCTCGCTCACTCACAGCCAATTGATAATCGAGTGACTGATTGAATGCGTGTCGGTGACTGTCAATGAATGTGTTCAGTGAATGTCAATGCATGAATTAATTCATCCATCGAGAGTCAACGCATTTTAATACACTATTGTAGTTTGATGAATGCATGCTCGTTAATATGTGAATTAATTAATGAACGAATTACTTTCATTGAATGATTGGGAACTATTAGAACATGTTTACACATCGATTGGCTGTTAATCAATGGGTATCAGTGGATAGTTACGTCAGTGAATACATGGTTGTGATCGACACTGAATCCACAAGTGGCGATAATTTAATACTGAATTACCGTCAGTGAATGAATATCAATGAACACACGGATGGAAATGGAGTGAATGAAAAATGAATGTCAATGAATAAATGCATTACTCTCCCACGTGTAATGACAGTATCGTCCGTCTTGACGCAGACACACACACACCGTTGTCAACAGCAACAACAATAGCAACAGCGTGCCTGCGTGTGTGTGTGGGGGGAGCGTTAGCCCAGTGGTTAGCACTGATCTGCAAACCCGGCAACAAGATTTCAATTCTCATTAACCTGGTGCGGTGTGTAAACATCGTCACTGGGGAGACAAAGGCGGTCGGGCGTGGTGCTGGCCACTCACCCCCTCGTGTACCGTTCCGGCCTTCATAGGTGCTCGCTAGCAGCACTTGCCCCTACAGTCTGTTAAGGCTATACGGGGGATCTTTGTCTTTGTTTGAAACAGAGATGCATACATTGTGATGTATTATTATTGCATTGCCTCGACCATAGCCACAGCGTAACAATACTCGTGATAGATCACGAGTATTCATCTTCTTGGTTCTTTCGGTAAAGTCACGTAGAAGGGAAGTAATAAAATAATAAAAAGAAAACATAATAAAATAATTCTCACGACGTTTCGGCCACAACGCAAGCAGCCGTCCTCAGGCAAGCAGCCGTCCTCAGGTGAGGACGGCTGCTTGCGTTGTGGCCGAAACGTCGTGAGAATTATTTTATTATGTTTTATGTTTTATTATTTTATTACTTCCCATCTACGTGACTTTACCGAAAGAACCAAGAAGATGAATCCCTGCAGTCACGAAAGCTTTAAATCGAAATTCATTAGTATTGTTACTCTGTGCAATGCGAATCGTCGCCCAATGAGGACAGAACTTGCAGCGCCTTATCATATTAGTGCCTCGTGGAAATCCCACGTGCCTGCCATGGAAATGTGGGATTCCCCACCACTGGTTCTGCTCACACCGGAGGATATTGTTGTTGAAGCATTGCGAGAGAGAGGGAGGGAGAGAGGGCTGTTATGGCTTTGACGTGTCCCAGAGTGAAAGCCCATCTGGCTCTGGGACTGTACCAGGCTGCCTTATCGGCTTAGTCTCTTTCTGTTCTTCACGCGATTACACAGAGCCGGAACCTCGTGGCCCTGGGTGCTGCAACTCGCAACGACTGTGCAGCAGGAGTGCAGCAGGTTAGCGAACTCTAAGAAGGACGTGCAGCGACGTGTAACAGAAGTGCGGCGAGTGTGCGAGGTTACGCAATTCCGCAAAGAGCAATAGCCTCCAGCAATGATTGGTACGTCGTCTGTTCGTGCAGCCAGGCGTGCGGCAGGTTTGGCAAATGTGCAGTGTGCATCATGTGCAGCAGGCTACCACAGATGCAGCAGTGCTTGCGCGATGCAACAGATGTGCAGGGACGGGTTGCAACAGGCTGGTGTGCATGATCAGGTGCCTGCAAAGTGTGTAGCCGGGCTGCACGATTTAAGGAGGGGGGGGGGGGGTACATCCCATTTTGACATGTAGGTAGGCAAGTTGTGCTGGGTGTAGTGGCAGTGCAGCAGGGCCATACTGGTAGTAACCTCCTGGTTACACCAGCCCACAGGGGATTATTGTGTCCGACCGTCCGTCGTGCAGGGAGGGGCTGGGTGGGGAGGGAGGGGCTGGGTGGGGAGGGAAGGATGGGGAGGGGCTGGGTGGGGAGGGTGGGGCTGGGTGGGGAGGGTGGCGAGGGGCTGGGTGGGGAGGGGCTGGTCACCCCGTGGTGCCCTTATAAAACGCAACGTTTAACCTACTCACGCCGACTTGTGCCCGCCCTCACAGTCGGGCATATTTGCGGAAGACACCACGCCGCCGTTGACCCTGGCCATTGACCGAGCAACCCAACGTTCCTATCAGCTCCCTCCGCAGGAATGTGTTATTGCTGTAGTTAATGTACAGGGTACTGCAGGGCTAACGTAAAACAGCAGGGTGCAGTGGCAGTGTAACAGGGTCTATATTGCTGTGGGTGTTGTGCAGGGTGCAGGATAGCTCAGCTAAATCTGGGGGGTGCAGTGGAAATTGCTGGGTACCGGCTGGTGAGCTTCATAATCCAATGCGTCCATCGGCAGAATAAAGCTCCTCTTTGCGTGAGCCGTCGGGGCTCACTGTGGATTTCCCACTGCCGTGGGTCAAGCGCCTATCAAGGTAATGGTCCCACTGTTGGACGTTTCCATAAATGCCCATAATTCTTCTAGACGATTGCAGACGAGCCCGGCGGTAATAAACTGATAACACAATTGACACTCGTCGATTGAAGTAAAGGCCCGTTGAAGCTTCTTTATACATTTGGTTTTTAAAAATGAATAGTGAGCATCAGCAGCAAATTTTTTTTTAGATCCGCTACCTCGTTGTCTGTACGGTGCTGTGCTTCTATGCTCCCGTGTCAATGCTGCTTGCATTCTGGCATTCACCAACCCGTACTGACCAGCGTGGTGAAGTATGGTCAAATGACCCGTACGATATGGGGAGGGGCCCTCATCTAGCACAGTGGCAAGATGTTAACTACCTTGCCTAGTGTACAGGAGGTTCGTGGGGTCGATCCCGATCCTGACGCCTGCTGTATATGTGGAGTTTGCATGTTCTCCCAGTATTCGCGTGGATTTTTTCTCCAGGTCCTCCGTTTAGAGCATTCGGCTGCTGCTCTAAATTGAAACGTGATAAGCCCACTTTTCTATGTATGTTGAACTTCTTTCGCACCGTACGTAGCCAACCGTGCTAATCGGAGGTGCGAGGTCGCTTCTAAAAGAAGAGCTATATAGCTCAGTGGGGCCTTACCGGGTAAAATAAAATAAAAATGTTAGCAATGGATTGATGAAAGGCAGCCGTGGTGCTGCTACGCTGCTCCTTTTGCTCGCGTGGAATTTAAAGCGGTTTCTCTATTTAGATCGCGCGGGGCATCTGAAACGTTAAGATTCGCGGCTTAGAGGAATACAGATCTTGTTCCCCCTCTCGGACGCGTTCCATTCTCTGACTGCCGCTCCGTCACGATCCTTGACCATCGGACATCACTCCCTTCGAGTCACAACGTGTGCTGCCTGATCAAGCCCACTTTACTTTTCTGAAAAAGTTTTAATAATTTTTAAGCTTTAATACAATTGACCTTGCGTGTGCATAAAACAGTTTTTTTTGGGGGGGTTCAGATCGCGTAAATATAAATGTGTCGTTAATCCACCACCACCCGACACTGCCAATCAGTAAGGTTGGCCACGTAAACAAGACGTACCAATTGGTTACTACTTCAGCCCACTGGTGTGTTGGAGAGTAAAAAAGAAAGAATTTACAATTTGAGTACGACGTTTCGCTGGTATTTACATCCAGCATCATCGGGCGATTTTGTCAGAAAAACCATGCTGTGTTGGGTGGTGGTGGGTTAACGACATTTGTATATTTACGCGATTCAACCCCAAAAAAGCTTTATTATAAATAATATTGATACGCGATTGCCTACGTGTAAATCTTGCTCATGTTCTCTGATCCATGGGTTCTTCTTTCTGCCTCTCAGTGTAATTCCAAGCGTGCACCTTTCAATACACGCAGGTCAGAGGTCGCAAACGGGTTTTGATTCCTTACCCATACCCGGCCGCACCAGGGTCGCAAACTGGTACCCGTACCCGTACCCGGCCTGGTACGGGTAGCCGGGTATCGGGTAGGGTACGGGTATCGGGTACCTGGTTGCGACCTCTGCAGCAGGTACACACTGATTAACAACAAACACAATGATGACATACAATGCAATTAACGACGACTGTTTAATGTCCTTCCCCCAAAGCCCCTTTTCATATCAGGCCAAACTCGCCTCCCCGGGGCAGCATGGAGGACGACCGTTGCTTCACCAATCGCTTCGACGACCGCGCGGGCTCGCCGCTGCCCGGCCGCTCGCGCGAGGCCCTGCTGCCCATCGTCACGGCCATGCTGGACTCCATCGCCGGGCAGGCCCCCCCGGGCAGCGGCGAGGGCGACGGCGGAGTCGGTGGGAAGCGTGCGGGGACGGTGGCGGTGGCGCCGGAGGGCGGGTTGTACCGCGGTCCGGCGGGCATGGCCCTGGCGCTGGCGTTTGCGACGGCGCCCGACAGCAGCCTCCTGCCCGGGCTGGACGCGGGGCGGCGGGAGAGGTACGCGGACGCGGCGCGCAGGCTGGCCGAGGCGTCCGTGGAGTACGCCGAGAAGATGGAGGGAAGAGCGACCTGCACGGGAGCGGCTGCCATCAGTAGCGGTGGGGCAGAGTGGTGTCTCCGCGCGTGCGAGTGTGCGCGTGTGCGCGCGTGTGTGATTGCGCGCGTGTGTGATTGCGCGCGGTGGCGCAACGATTAGCGCGCTGCGATACAAACCCAGCGACCTGGGTTCGATTCCCACTCACGGCCGAGACCAGTGACGAATATTCGAACTGGTCCTGGGCTTCCCCTAGGTCGGCTCAGCCTCAAATGAGTAGCTGGTGCGGTTGGCTTCCCACCACCTCGTGTGCTGTTCCGGCTTCATAGGTGCTCGCTAACAGCACTTGCCCCAACAGTCTGTTAAAGGCTATATGGGGGATCTTTATCTTTGATGCGTGCATGTATGATCTGTGGAGTGGGACATGATTACTTGACTTTTTAGTGTGTTTTTTTTTCTTTCTGTCGTCTTTTCCGCATTTATGGTGGATGCCAGCAACATCAAATCTGTAAATGATGAATAATGAAACCCCAAACTTTGGACCGTACAGTAAACCCACTGTGCTCTGCACTTCTTCAATAGAGGAGGAACAGCAAAACTACACAAACTCTCTCCTGAAGCACTCGACATTGGCATTTAGCTGCTGAAATTATTGCCTTACGCAAGAATATGACAAAAAAATCCGAACAGAAATTGGTGAATATACTTTACTAATTGTTGACTATACTCTATTGATAAATATTAATAAGAAGGCACCTGGCGTGAAGTTGTCTAACTCTTCAGTTAGACAAGACGGCCACATTTGCTTATATTTATTTCGAGTGATAACCTAACAGGACCATGATGCAGTTCTTGGGGAATTGGTGCCAACGATCCGATAGCCGCCGCTCTGCTTGTCATCCGCACCTCCGATCAGCATGGTTGGCTACGTACGGCGAGAAAGAAGCTCAACATACACACGTTCATCTTCTTGGTTCTTTCGGTAAAGTCACGTGGACGGGAAATAATAAAATAATAAAAATAAAACATAATAAAATTTAGATGTAAAGCTTTCGTGACTGCAGGGATTCATCTTCTTGGTTCTTTTGGTAAAGTCACGTAGAAGGGAAATAATAAAATAATAAAAATAAAACATAATAAAATTTCGATTTAAAGCTTTCGTGACTGCAGGGATTCATCTTCTTGGTTCTTTCGGTAAAGTCACGTGGACGGGAAATAATACAATAATACGAAATTAAACATAATAAAATAAAATAATAAAATTATAATATAATAAAGTAATATATTATTATGTTTTATTTGTAATTTTATTTTTATTATTTTATTACTTCCCTTCTACGTGACTTTACCGAAAGCACCAAGAAGATGAATCCCTGCAGTCACAAAAGCTTTAAATCGAAAGATACACAAGTACATTTGACTGACCGACCCCCTCACCCTCTGACCCCTGACCCCAAAACCTTCCCCAAACCCCCGACCGACCGACGGCCACCGACGGCCACCGCCCTCAGCCAGCAACGGGGAGCGTGAGAGCGGATCTGAGACGAGCGCGTCGTTCCTGCTGGGCGGCGCGGGCGCCTTCGTGGCGGCGGCGTTGGCGAGCGGCGCAGCGGGCCGGGCGGCCGCCGCTGTGGCCTACGCGCAGAGCTTCGCGCGGCTGCACCGCGAGCTGCCGCGCGCCGTCACCGTGCGGCCGCACCGCCTCGGCTCCGACGAGCTCTTCGTGGGCCGCGCCGGCATCCTGTGCGGCGCCCTGCTGCTCAAGCGCCGGCTCGGCATCGAGGTGAGAGCGGCGTGGTCCGTCCGCGCGCCTAGCTGAACTTTTGGCGTCATCTGGTCCAACACCATGTGAGACTAGGCTCTAAGCAAAGCTGTCTCGGGTGTGGACCAATTAATTTCAAGGACAGTGCATACATTATCAGAGTTGTGTTTTTTTTTGTTTGCATTCCGACCGCAGGTACTGTGGTCAATGCAAATGTGACTCCTTGTAAAGAAAAAAGGTCTCAGTTTTGTTGCCAGATAAAAGGATTAAAAACCGAATTATCAAATGCATTTCTCTTCACTGCCCTCTGCTGCTCACTACGTGTAGCCTTTTGCTTTCATGCGGCTGATGATGTAGATGCAGAGCAACTACAACAGTTTCACATTCTGGTGGTCAGGCCAGATAACCGCGTCAAGAGCAGCGGAGTGTAGACCAGCTATAACTATAAGCCCAGCTGTGACGATATGCATGTATGGTAGGCACCCATTCAAGCACTTTTCAGATTCAACTCATCCCTAGCTTCTGCACGTTGGTGACATCGGGCACATTTCCATGCGACATTGGTGTACCTATATTTATTGTCACTTTCGTTATGTCCCACATTATTGAGTTGCTCTTCCCTCCAGCATCAATAAAATGAGCACCAGTTCACTTGTGGGAAGTCCACCACAGGAGTGGGCAATTTCCACCACTTGCTCGTTCGAGTGTGTAAATGGAAGACGAGCAATGCCTCAGTGCGCCTATGAATGGTAACATCACTTTGGCTGTCATCGTCCGAATCAGAATCTTTATTTATAGGTACGGGAGGAATCAGTTGAGCTATAGAGCTATTTTTACAGATGTCCTAGAATTAGGGTCGCAGCCTATTCCACAGACTACACCAGAAAATGTTTCTCAGACAGCCGAGGTCAGGGGGTTGGTAACCAGAATAACAACAAGAGACATTTTCAATCTTGATTTGAAGCTTTCGTGACTGCAGGAATCCATACTCTTTGGTTCTTTCGGTAAAGTCACGTAGATAGAAATACATTAAAATGAAACAAAACACGACGTTTAGATTGCAACACAAGCAATCATCAGGTGAGAAAACCACAGCAAGAAAAAAATTTCGAATTCGGAAAAAAGCTCAATATTTCAAGAGCCGGAATGAACTGTGTGGCGAATACGAGTCGGTGGGTCCTTAATAAGATAACTATCTTCTTGGTTATTTCGGTAAAGTCACGTAGAAGGAAAATAATAAAATAATAAAAATAAAACATAATAAAATAATTCTCACGACGTTTCGGCCACAACGCAAGCAGCCGTCCTTCCTTCTACGTGACTTTACCGAAAGAACCAAGAAGATGAATCCCTGCAGTCACGAAAGCTTTAAATCGAAATTTAAGATAACTTTCACGAATCAGCCCTTCAAAGAGCCACCAACGCACGCAGCTTCGGAGCCGCTGGTTGTCAACTCCTGGCCTCGGTCTATCAACACTTGTGCAGTGTACAGCAGCAAAGTTCAACACAAAGCCAGTTGCAGATCTCGGTACAAATTAATTTCTGCCACCCAAACACAGAGCGCCACGGTGGCGAGATGTTAACGACCTCGCCTGGTATGCAGGAGGTCATGGGTCCGATCCTGACCCTGACGCCTGCTGCTGTATATTTGGATTCTAGATTTTAAGCTTTCGTGACTGCAAGGAATCATACTCTTAGGTTTTTTTCGGTAAAGTCACGTAGGTAAAAATAAATAATAAACCATAAAAATAATAGAAATAATAATAGAAATAAAAGAAAATATTAATGATTTTATTTCTATTATTATTTCTATTATTTTTATGTTTTATTATTTATTTTTACCTACATGACTTTACCGAAAAAACCTAAGAGTATGTATATTTGGAGTTTGTATGTCTCTCCCCGTGGTCGCAATAATTTTTCTCCGGGTTCTCTGGTTTTCCCCTCCACATTTTCGACGCAACATGCAATTAGAACATTTGGCTGCTGTGAATTTGCACGTGATAAGCCACTTCGTTGAGCTATCATTTGTGGCCAGGTCACTTCTAAAAAAGATCTGTTTGCCTCAGTAGGCCTTACCTGGTAAGAACAAAAGTTTAGTTTAGTTTCAGATACCAATTCCCGGACTGTCCAGGACTGCTTGGGTCAAACCTGGATAGCTGACAACTCTACCTATGCCTTGAATAAATACCTGGTTGCAATGTACACGAATCAGTAATGGGAAGACAAAGGTGACCGAGGGTTATACTTGCCACACCCACCCCCTCGGGTGTGCTGTGTTGATCATCATAGGTGCTCGCGAACAGCACTTTCCACAACAATCTATGTCGGCATATACGGGTACGCTTTTGTTATTGTCTATGCTTTCTTGTATGTGTGTACTGTATGTATCCCTGTACAGTACAGCTGTTCCTCGTTATTCGCGAGGGATACGTTCCGGAGATGCTCGCGAATAGAACATTTCGTAGATAATGATATTGGCATTAAATGACTATAAAAATAAGCTATTAAATACATGGGAATTATCATAATAACAATCTCTTTATCTACCATCACTTTATCTCGTCACTTTATCTCTCTCTCTCTGTGTCTATGCAATCGTGAAGAGTTCCAGATGCTTTTACGCGGACAGCCAAAATCGCGGATTGCACGTTCGTGAATAACGAGGGATTGCCGTGTGTGTATGTCCCTGTGTGTGTATGTCCCTGTGTGTGTATATCCCTGTGTGTGTATGTCCCTGTGTGTGTATGTCCCTGTGTGTGTATATCCCTGTGTGTGTATATCCCCTGTGTGTGTATGTCTCTGTGTGTGTATATCCCCGTGTGTGTATATCCCTGTGTGTGTATATCCCTGTGTGTGTATATCCCTGTGTGTGTATGTCTCTGTGTGTGTATATCCCTGTGTGTGTATGTCCCTGTGTGTGTATATCCCTGTGTGTGTATATCCCCGTGTGTGTATATCCCTGTGTGTGTATGTCCCTGTGTGTGTATATCCCTGTGTGTGTATATCCCTGTGTGTGTATATCCCTGTGTGTGTATGTCCTTGTGTGTGTATATCCCTGTGTGTGTATATCTCTGTGTGTGTATATCCCTGTCTGTGTATGTCACCGTGTGTGTATATCTCTGTGTGTGTATGTCCCTGTGTGTGTATATCCCTGTGTGTGTATGTCCTTGTGTGTGTATATCCCTGTGTGTGTATATCTCTGTGTGTGTATATCCCTGTCTGTGTATGTCACCGTGTGTGTATATCCCTGTGTGTGTATGTCCCTGTGTGTGTATACATCCCCGTGTGTGTATGTCCTTGTGTGTGTATATCTCTGTGTGTATATCCCCGTGTGTGTATATCTGTGTGTGTATATCCCCGTGTGTGTATACATCCCCGTGTGTATACGTCCCTGTGTGTATATCCCTGTGTGTATATCCCTGTGTATGTATATCCCTGTGTGTATACATCCCTGTGTGTATATATCACCATGTGTGTGTATGTCCCTGTGTGTATGTCCCTGTGTGTATACATCCCGTGTGTGTATACATCCCTGTGTGTATACATCCCTGCGTGTATACATCCCCGTGTGTGTATGTCCCCGTGTGTATACATCCCTGTGTGTATACGGCAATCGTATCCAAGAGTGGTCACGGATGAGGAAGGACACCTCCAATGCCACGTGTTCCGCTGTTTGCCCGGGTTGCCGTCGCCATGGCAACCAGCGAGTTGCTCCGGTTGCCGTGGCAACAGGTCCATTCTCTACTCTTTGGTTCTTTCGGTAAAGTCACGTAGGTATTAAATAAAATAAAATAAATCACGACGTTTCGGGCGCAACACAAGCGTCCATCATCAGGTGGGAAAGCATGACCTGTTGCTGAGGCAGACTGTTTGAAAAAGGTTTGAAATGGGGTTGAGTACACACATTTCAAACCTTTTAAAACATATTCTTAGTTCTTTCGGTAAAGTCACATAGAAGGGAAATAATAAAATAATAAAAATTTACAATAACATTCTCACGACGTTTCGATTGCAACACAAGCAATCATCATCAGGTGTGAAAACTACAGCAAGAAAATTTGCTTTTTTTTAAACATGTTCTTGCTGTGGTTTTCACACCTGATGATGATTGATTGTGTTGCAATTGAAACGTCGTGATTTATTTTATTTTCTACCTACGTGACTTTACCGAAAGAACCAAAGAGTATGGATTCCTGCAGTCACGAAAGCTTCAAATCAAGATTAAGGTCCATACCCTTCACACCAGATTCGCCAGCGTGCAGGAGAAAATAAGTTCACATTACGGAGCGCATCGAGCGCGGGTTTGTGATTTGTATGCCGGGATTACATTGTCACATCTCTCGAACGGGCGTATGAAACGTGTTCTTTTCTTTTTGCGTGAGGTTTTCGGTTTCATTTTAGGCCGGTTTTTTATTTCTTCTGTAAATTATCTATTTTAATTCAGTGCTGTCTCGCGATTTAACTGTGTCTGGGGGGAATTACATCCCCATCCAAAATGATGGAGCCTGTGCCATAGTAATGTGGAATTTGCACCACTGGGTCTGGATTGTGACACTGATATCAGCAGCAAGCCACTTTCACTTGGACACATGTCATTATAAAAATGTTCATGATGTGGCTGATAAGGCACACAACTGTTCACTAACACATTCCTGCGGAGGGAGCTGGTAGGAACGTTGGGTTGCTCGGTCAATGGCCAGGGTCAACGGCGGCGTGGTGTATTCCGCAAATATGCCCTACTGTGAGGGCGGGCACAAGCCGGTGCCAGTAGGTGTAACGTTGAGTTTTATAAGGGCACCACGGGGTGACCAGCCCCTCCCCACCCAGCCCCACCCCTCCCACCCCCCACCCAGCCCCACCCTCCCCACCCAGCCCCACCCTCCCACCCAGCCCCTCCCCACCCTCCCCACCCAGCCCCTCCCCACCCTCCCCACCCAGCCCCTCCCCACCCTCCCCTCCCCACCCATCCCTTCCCTCCCCACCCAGCCCCTCCCTGCACGATGGACACAATAATCCCTGTGGGCTGGTGTAACCAGGAGGTTCCTACCAGTATAATGTCACCAGCTATCCATCTGCTGTATATCTAAATCAGCTCAAGCCTCCCGCAAATCACGTGACTTCCGGGTGGCCACCCTCACCTCTGAATCCCTCCCCCTGTTCACACCGCCCACTGTGAAAACAGACGCCGCTCCACCGTGAAGCTCACTTCTGATCACTCCGTCTCTCTCTTCCCTCCGCTCGTATCTTCATCACTATCATCGCTCTCTCACCCCCCCCCCCCTTCGCCTTGGTGCGGGCATTCTTTCCCTTCTTCTGTGTCTGTCTTTGAACTTCTCGTGGTGTGCCACGGGGAAAAGTTTTTACGGTACTTTAGGGGCTGTCCATAAATGACGTCACGCACCTAGGGGGGGGGGAGGGGTCAGACATTAGTGACGATATGTGACGAGGGGGGGGGGGTGAGAAATGTGACGTCACATCAAAATGCGCAACTTTAAATAAATATAGACAACACGTTCTACTTAATTAAATATACTTTTTAATAAATGTTTTCACCTACAACATCAGAGTGCAGCGCCACATTAAATACGCACTACACTGACAATAGTTGAAAGCGATTTTAAGCATTTTTATTTTTAGGGAGGGGGGGGGGCAGAGCTTTGTGACGTCATATTTGAGGGGGGGTCTGACTTTTTGTGACGCCGTGTGACAAGGGGGGGGGGGGGTCAAAAATCATCCAAAATCGCGTGACGTCATTTGTGGACGGCCCCTAACGACACAATGCCCGATCCACAAATACGAAAGGAGACATCGCAGCGATGATGACCCACTCCGCTGCTGCTGACGCTGTTATCTGGCTTGACCACCTGATTATGAAATTGAAGTCGTTCCTCTGCATCGACATCAGCCGTGCGAAAGAAAAATTTTAAACTAAACAAAGACCTTGGAGTGGACAGGACTGGCGTATTCTCTGGATTAAAAGACGCTCCAGAAAGTATGACGCACCTCAAACTTGCGCCTGGTCTTAATATAGTTCTATAAATCTGCACTCCAACAGGCATCTACAAGATTATAAGATGCATCCCTCCAACGTTTTGCTTTAAAGTACAGGTTTAAAAAAAGATATGGTCTTATCATCAGCAGAATACGGTCATTTAAGGCGCTGGCTCGGATACAAACACATCTGGCGATGTTGTGTGGGTCAAGTTTTGTGTTACCTGTGGTGTACGTGCACTTTACATGTATACTCAGATGTGAATCTACTGCTGGATGAGGGCCTCCCCACACCTTGCTGGTCATTGGGGCTATCTGACGATGCTTCATCACGCCGATCGGTGCGACGGGGTGATGGAGGTTCAGGACCATAGACACGGGAGCATAGAATTGCTGCAGTGCAGTACAACAGTGGATTTGTGTGCACTGCACTCCGCTGCCCGCTATGCGGCAGCAACAACGACAGGGCTGCCGATAACAAACCTGTCCTTCGTGATTGATCACCCATCAAGGCACTATCCTGCCACTCAATCCCGCTCAGCTACCGGAGGATCTGATGAGACAAGGCACGTTCCGGGGTGATTTGGTCCGAGGCTTGAGACTGGAGCAGAGCTGGAAATACCCCACAAGTCCCACACGATGGAGTGAGAGTGTGCGAATTCCTGCACCGCATTTTAACGATGGAATGCATGGGCTCTGCATGTTAATAAAGGCCATGGTACGATATAAAATGTTACAATGTAACGAATATGACGATATCAGTTGTGACCCTGTATTTCTGTGCTGTTGCTGTGCTTTTGCCGTATTTATAGGATGAGTTAAGATTTAAAAGAACAAAAATCCACTGCATTTGACCACTCTGCACGAGCCTGCTAAATCTTGCGATTGTTCGAGATAGAGAGCACTTACAATGCACATGCCGTCAGTTACCAAAGAAATAATCTAATTATCATACGCACTAAAGAAAATGATATTAAAAAATCTGGTTGTCGCCTGATAAGGCTAGTTGCTGTAATTGCCGCCGAGACGTCACTGGTACTCGAATTGTAAATGTTGTAGTGGGTTCACTCTCCAACACACAACGGGTGTGCTGAACTAGTAACGAATTGGCACGTTTATTTTACGTAACAAACCTTACTAATTGGCAGTTTCGGGTGGTGGCGGGTTTAACGACACATTTAGATTTATGCGATCTCACCTTAAAAAAACCTCTATTATGGACCAAATGATGGCGTTATACAATTGCCATGCCATCAGTCATTCCGAAACACCTTTTGCAAAGCACTAATTTAGTGATTATTAGATTTTTACAACGTTTAATAATCGAGTTAGTTTTGTCGTAAACATTATCAAATTTGTTTTTAATATACATAAACAAATTAGTGCCGATAATCATGATATAATGATATATATTTTATAAACTGACGATTAGATTATCATGGGATTTCATATTGTACGACATCGTAGTATTGTCGTATCGCATACACTCGAGTTGCCATCTTATTTCTCGGTCAGCAATTGAGTCTGTTATCAAAACTCTGCAGTCCACTTTGACAAAGTTCAACGCAACATCGGTGCCAGATCTCGGAACAAATCAACTCCTGCCACCCGAACACAGATGCCAATCCCGGACTGTCCGAGTCAAACCCGCTCAAAACTCGGACAGGTTGTAACCCGAGTGGCACTGCTAATGTCCACCGCTAACCTTCGGTGCCTTGTGCGTGTGTGTCCTTTGATCTTGTGCCCTAGATCCTGACGGACGAGGAGACCTCCACCGTGTGCCAGGCCATCGTGGACTCGGGAAAGGAGTACGCGGCACGCAAACACAAGCCCGTGCCTCTCATGTACGCCTACTACGGCACCGAATACCTCGGCACGTTGCATCGCAGTCCCTTCTCACCTGAGCACCTGCGCTACCACACACGGCTAGTGTATGTATGTGTGTTGAAATATTAGTGGGGAGCGACACACACGTGACGATTATCTGAACCAGTCATGGGCCTACCCTAGGTCGACTCAGCCTCAAATGAGTACCTGGTGAAGTGTGTAAGCATCGCTACTGGGGAGAGAAAGGCGTCCGGGTGTAGTGTTGGCCACCCACCCCCTCGTGTGCCGTGCCGGCCTTCATAGGTGCTCGCTAAGAGCACTTGCCCCAACAGTCTGTTCAGGCTATACGGGGGATCTTTGTGTTTATTTTGTTGAACTATGACCACAACATTGCCCTGCCCTCACTTCTCATCTTGCTCCACCTGTCCTTGCCTTGAGTCTTTGCCAGCCAGGAATCGTCTGTATGTATCTACGTTGAACTTCTTTCGCACCGTACATAGCCAGCCGTGCTAGTCGGAGGTGCGGGGGGAAGGGCAACACACTCAACACAAAACGCAGTTGCAAAGAAATTAGTTTTCAATCTTAAGTTTAAAAGTGCATGGCTCCAGTGGCTGGGTGTCAAACTCAGTCGCTGCCCATTCAGTGTCGTTCGTGTCCATTGGACTTCACGGCCACCAGCACCTGTGATAATGATGATCATTTCGTATGGCCAAGGAAGAGCAGCTCCCTTATCTGATATTTATAGAGCGCCTTTATCCAAGGCGCGTTACAAGGGTTATGAGTGGTGCAATGAGGGTAGCTAATTTTGATATGGTGATGGGGTATGGGGAGGAAGGTTCGTGGGTACAGGAATTACGGTGGATACCTTGGGATGGAGGGAAGGATGGGCCAGGAAAGAAGAGGTGGGTCTTGAGGGAGGAGTGGAAACGATACAGGGAGGGCGCTCACTTAATGCGGAGGGGAAGTTTGTTCCAGTACAAGGGGGCAAGTACGGAAAAGGATCGGAAACGGAGATTGTGCATAAGGAGAGGGGGGGGGGGGTTAGGAGTATAGGAGAAGAGATTGAGAGTGGAGCGGGCGGGAGGGGATATAAAAGGAGATGAGGGAATTCTAGATTTGAAGCTTTCGTGACTGCAAGAATTCATATTCTTAGGTTTTTTCGGTAAAGTTACCCACGTGACTTTACCGAAAAAACCTAAGATTATGAGATGAAGGAAGCGAGATATGGTGGGGCCAGGCCATAGAGAGATTTATATACTACCTGTGTAAGAGATTCATTTCTAAGCGATTTACCCATTCAGTGTTGTCGTTGTTCTTGGAGAGTTTGTGAATTGCAGATACACCACATTCAAGTTTATTTTTGGGGCGGGGTGAAGTTATATGGTCCACGAGGTGCACCCATAATACTCTTTGGTTCTTTCGGTAAAGTCACGTACAGTAGGTGAAAATAATAATACAATAAAATAAAAAAGTGAAAACAACTAAATTGTGAAAACAACTAAATTAAAAGACAATTTATTTGTTTTCACTTTTTTATTTTATCATTATTTTCACCTACGTGACTTTACCGAAAGTGATTTAATTTCGTTGTTTTCACTTTATTTATATTATTTTATTAGTATTTTCACCTACGTGACTTTAACGAAAGAACCAAATAGCATGGATCCTTGCAGTCACGCAAACTTCAAATCTAGAATGCACCCATAATGCCTAGGCACACGTCCCATAAACTACCCAGTCCGTGTCTTCCACGTGTGCAGTTGCAATTCCACACATCGAGAATAGAACACCTCCTATAGCCTCATCTACAGAGCAGCGGTTTCCAGCCTCTGGTCCACAAGGCCGTGGGAAGTGTAACTGCTGTAGAAACGATTGTTTTTTTTTTGTAACAAAAGCACCAAATTGTCTACTGCACGGTGGTCCTGGAGAACGATTCGAGGATTGACAGTGGCACATGGGTCTAAAATATGTTGAGAACCACCACTCTCTGTCAGTGGTTGTCAGCCTTTCTGGACCCGCAAGGCCGCGGGAAGTAGACTACACGATTTATCGTCGTTTTCCATTTTGAAAAAAGCTATTGGTGGCATGGTCGTCCGAGGAAACACGTTTGAGGGTTGATCGTGAGAAGAAACTCATTCAGACAGAACAATCCAGCGCAGGCTGGCAACAAATAAGAGTCACGTTCAACGCAAAAGGTGATGCGATCTTATTTGCAGACAACCGTCACGAGACACGCTACCTCGAACAGCCTGGCATGTTTTCAACTTACAAACCAATAGCGCCAGCAATTACAATTTGCAGAGCGTATTGCGTTTAAACGCTAGGGGTCAGGGCAGGGAAAGACGGGAGAGAGGAGAGAGACCGACTTAGCCCGGAATATGAACCCTACGTATGTATTTCTAGATTTGAAGCTTTCGTGACTGCAAGGATTCATACTCTTAGGTTTTTTCGGTAAAGTTACGTAGGTAAAAAATACAATTAAAATTAATAAAAGTAATAATAGAAGTAAAATAAAATTATAAATCACGACGTTTCGGAGGCAACACAAGTCTCCGTCATCAGGTGGGACCGTCACAGCTACATTTACTGTATCAAGTGAGACAAAGATTCCAAGATACAAGTTCTTAAATACAAGTTAAGGGGAGAAGAGGGGGGGAGGGGCTTATCTGAATGTGGTAGCCAATGAATGGAACGTATTGGGAGGGGGGGGGGGCTACGTATGTATGTTTTAATTTCTTTCGCACCGTACGTAGCCAGCCGTGCAGGAGTTCGCAGTTGAATAGGCTTCACCCTTTCTGGCAATAAAACAGGACGTGTTAAGATGTTCAAACACCAAATAGAAACCTCTTGCAAGGCATCAAATCTGCATTAGCCACACGTGCTTGTGGCAAAACATGAAAACGAACATGCTCTGATAATATACGCAGCGTCTTTGAAACTGATTCGCCTACACCTGAGAGGGCCTTCTTCTTGGCCTCATCTCACCGGTGTCAGACCAGAGATTGCCAAAAGGCGAACAGTCCAGTGACAATGCAAGTATCACAACATTTGTAACTCGAACAGTTAAATAAAAATGACGCCTTGCATAGAGCTATCTGTTTGGTGTTTGAACATCTTAAGACCTATATTTTTGGTTCTTTCGGTAAAGTCACGTAGAAGGGAAATAATAAAATAATATTAATATAAAACAATAAAATTATCACGACGTTTCGACTGCAACACAAGCAATCATCATTAGGTGTGATTGCTTGTGTTGCAGTCGAAACGTCGTGAGAATTTTTTTTGTTTCATATTTATATTATTTTATTATTTCCCTTCTACGTGACTTTACCGAAAGAACCAAGAATATGAATCCCTGCACTCACGAAAACTTTAAATCAAAATTTAAATCTTAAGACCTGTTTTATTGCTAGAAAGGGTAAAGCCTCTTCTTCTTTTTCAGTATTTTTTTGATAGTGGCAAAAAAGGTACCATCATGCTTTCCCACCGGATGATGGATGCTTGTGTTGCGCCCGAAACGTCGTGATTTATTTTATTTGTTATTTTATACCTACGTCACTTTACCGGAAAAACCAAAGAGTAAGGTAGCATAGACTCCGTACACCTCGTTCCACATCAGACGGCAGCAGCGGCCGGCAGCGCTCGAGCCGATTTGTTCACTTCCTGATGAAGCTCCCGGCACGTGGAGCGAAACGCCGGACATCGTGACGAACAGTACGCGGTACGACCCGGCAACGCGTCGAAGAGCTGCGGAGTCGTTTTTGTTGTTTTCTTTGAACAAGTGGAATGATTTCTCCTGACATCTCACGGGGAATCCAACGAGTGTGCGCCCAAGCCTCCCAAACAACAAACACAATTCCACCCTCTGCAGTGACCCCTTAAAGCAATGCAGCGGCATCAGTCTCCAATCGCCCAGGTGCAAAGAATGAAATGTTTGGGGGGCCCCACCTGTGCCTCCTCCGGGGACCGCTGGTCCTGTGCAGTTGCACCGCCTGTACACTTCATAGCTACACCCCCGCCCCCCACCCCACCAACCCTACCCCAGGCTCAACCCAACAACAATGGGAGGCAGTTGGCGGGGGAAAAAAAACATATTTTCTGGAATTCAGCCCCTGACAGCTTCGGCTGATCTTCTTGGTTCTTTCGGTAAAGTCATGTAGAAGGGAAGTAATAAAATAATTAAAATAAAACATAATAAAACAATTCTCACGGTCACACTCGACGGTGAGAATTGTTTTATTATGTTTTATTTTTATTATTTTATTACTTCCCTTCTACGTGACTTTTACCGAAAGAACCAAAAAGATGAATCCCTGCAGTCACGAAAGCTTTAAATCGAAATTTAGCTTCGGCTGAATTTAATGCCGGGCTAAGCCACTGGGAAACCGAGTGAGTGTGCCCGGTGCTCCCTTACCAACCAGCGCAGCCGAGCACCGGAGCGTCTGATGCGTTAACGGGGCCGTGTGAGAGCGCGCACGTGTGCTGGCGGCGCTGTGGTTTTACAGGCGCAGCTCACGGCCTCTCCTCCATCCTCCTCATGCTGCTCTCCTACCAGCAGCACCTCGACGCCGAAGACCGAGAGCTCGTGTGGAGGACCCTGGACTTCCTGGCCGAGCAGGAGCGCGACGGGAACTGGGCGGCTGAGCTCATGGAGCCCGCGGCGCACGACAAGAGCCTGGTCCACTGGTGTCACGGCGCGCCAGGTCAGAGCGCGTCGCGGGCCGATCGATCAATTGGCCGGTCGGCTCAAGCTCGCGAGTTTGACCGGCACGAGGGGCACGTGGCGGTCGCGGTGGTGGCGGCGGCGGTGGCTACGTTGCACGCGGCCTGGAATGCCGGCACTGTGGAGGCGGCAGCGAGGGTCGGTGGGTCGCGTAAATGCGGTGAAACTCCCTTGCGGTGGGTCGTGAAGGATGGAGCCACCGACTGACTCGCCAAGAGAGAAGGCGGTACAGGAAAGTGTGGACTCTGCATGCGTGGGTTGTTCTCCCACACGTATGAACACCAATAGGTACATTTAAACAAAAAATTGCCTGCAAAAATCTTAATCTATACGCGCCTCGGTGTTTGTGGATTGTTTGGCGTTGCGTGATACAGTTGCATAACTGCAGCAGCAGCAGTACCTGCAGCTCCCTTTGATGCTGTTAATCCTGCATAATGCACATGCATATGTAGTACTAATCACATTCCTGCATTTCCCATAAATATGCTAAATTCCTCTTGATATGCAAATTCCTTTGTCAAGGCGCCCAGCTTATATATATGCTCCAAGCTCGTGTGCTGTTTCATTCAGACTCTGTCGCCTCGACGGACCTGGTTTTTCACCTGAGGACGGCTGCTTGCGTTGTGGCCGAAACGTCGTGAGAATTGATTTATTATGTTTTATTTTTATTATTTTATTACTTCCCTTCTACGTGACTTTACCGAAAGAACCAAGAAGATGAATCCCTGCAGTCACGAAAGCTTTAAATCGAAACAGTTGCATAAATTACGCTACTATATAAACGCAATGTTATCATCTGGGGCAGCGTGCGTAGTGAGGGAAAAAAGTATTTGAATCCCCTGCTGATTTTGTACGTTTGCCCACTGACAAAGAAATGATCAGTCTATAATTTTAATGGTAGGTTTATTTGAACAGTGAGAGACAGAGTAACAACAACAAAAATCCAGAAAAACGCATGTCAAAAATGTTATAAATTGATTTGCACTTTTAATGATAACAAGGCAAACGTGTATGATGGGCAACGTTTAGGAGAATGGCACTTTTTCAGAGCACACAGAGAGGCACCTGTTGTGAGGAACAGCCGTTGCCAGAAACGTCATCTATTCATCATCATCGTCGTCGTGACTATCCATACGCAGGGAGCCCGTAGTAGGTGCTCACTGGACATTTCGTCATTTGTTTCCACTTTCCTCTCTGTCTTGTCGTGCCAATGTGCTCAAGTAGGGCCAGATTTTTACGGCACCAATCTCTTGATGTCGTCATCAAGCCATTCTCTGTTAGGTCTTCTTCTCTTTCCGGTTCCTTACAATGTTTTCCGAACAACAACACCACCACACTTCTAATTGCACTGTTGTTGTTGTTGTTCATTCTACACGTGTCCGAAGAGTGCCAGTTTCCTTCTCATCGCCGTCTGCAATCAGGTCTTCTTCTATGTGCAACCGTTTTTCTTACTTCTAACCGTCACCTATTATATTAGAAATATTTTAATTTTAAGGTCACGATTAATTCTTATTGATGAATGTGTTGGGTTTATCTTGATTGGTGCAGCATTATTCTACGGTGCAAAACCTTACATTTTTTTTTTAATCTGCCCACTGCTGGTTCAAATATTGACTGGCAATACCGGTTTTTCATAATAGAGGCTTTTGGGTTAGATCGCGTAAATTTAAATGTGTCGTTTAACCCGCCACCACCTGATACAGCCTATTAGTAAGGTTTGTCACTTAGAAAACAGGCCAATTAGCTACTAGTACAGCACACCATTGTGTTGGAGAGTAAACCCACAACATTTACAATTATATTCATTACTAGTAAAGCACACCAGTGTGTGTTTGAGAGTAAACCCACAACATTTCAAATTATATTAATTACTAGTACGGCACACCATTGTGTTCGAGAGTAAACCCACAACATTTACAATTATATTCATTACCAGTACGGCACACCGGCGTGTTGGAGAGTAAACCCACAACATTTACAACACCATTTATTCTTCCCTGGCTGGACTGCATCGCATTCCCTACATTTGGGTTTCCTTCGAGTGGCGAGGGTGAGGGAGGTTGCAGTCGTGCCTTTAGATTATTTTTTGTGGTGTCGCCACAAATAGGCACACAATTTCAATCTCGCCTACGGAAAAAAACCACACACGCGCCCAAAAGGTATTGTGGGCCCCACCCGTGGAAGACACGAATGAATGAATGAAATAGCATTTGCGATCGTCCTTTGCAAGCTCCATCGGATGCCCATTATAAGGTCCCATTTTAAGTTGATTGGTGAAATCGTTTGTGAAAGTTACCGAGCTCATGCTACCAGCGTCAATTTTAATTTGTGCACATAATTGCGATTGTGGCTACGCAACCCAAACTATGGACCATGTATTAAACCCACAGAGAGACGTAGATATTGATACAGATACGTAGAGACCCATAGAGATGTATGGAGACTCAGAGCGATACATAGAGACGTATAGAGATGTATATATACTCATAGGGATACACAGGCAAATATTTAAGACAAAGCCACAGTGCGACCCACACTATGGACCAAATAGTAAACCCACTTTCGTCTACGTTCCTTCAACGGAGGAAGAACACCAGCAAAAAACGAACTCTTCCCCAAAGCCCACTCATCCTGACGAGCAGATCTCCACATTGGCATTTAGCTCCTGAGCATATTGCCGCCATACGCAAGATTATAGTAGAATATAATTCATGATATTATCTCACGTGAATAATAGTGTGGCTTTAAAAGAAAAAAAATACATAGAGTAGGTGATGTTTTGGGCCATAGCCCTTCTTCATATCCCAACATGAGCTTTGTAGCTTTACAATCTATAATGCTTATCACGCAAATGCTGTCGGCAAATTATGACGTTATTTAACCGGCACGTTCGGCAATTCCTCCGAAAATAACGTTTCACAAAGCGGTTAACGAATGCGTCATGCGGTTATTTATGAAGTTCATTGTCACGTTTGTCATTTCACATTTTTTAAAAAATCAGGAAATAAAATATAAAAAAGGGAGTAATGATAACCACGAAACGATAATGTTTTGCAAAACGAATGAGACAATTATCGCGGGGTTTAATTTTTTTTAATCAAATATCGTAGCATCACAGCGTCGTGGCAATGCTACTGCCACACAACTCTTGTTGTCATTGCAGTGATTGGCACAAACCAAAACTCTCTTAGGATGAACAAAAAAAACCACTCCAACACATTCTTCAATAACGCTGTGACCTTAAAATAAAAATTTAGAATTTGTCGACGTTTCAGGCAATGACCCTTCTTTGCACCTGTTATTTTTTCCTTTAAAGGATATTGTTATTGACGGAGGGTATTGAGTTTATTTGTTGATATTTGTGCTTGTGCACCACCGCCAGTGCGGCAGCATTGACCACGCAATTTGTCGGAAGGGAACATTGCGATGGGGAAGAAGCAGCGAGGATTTCAGAAATTGATTCGCCAATCCATACCTGCCGGAACGGTAATCATGCATACTGAGCGCGCGAGTGTCCTTGAGAGAAAAGCCATTTGAAAGAACGACTGGCAGAAGTGGATAAGGACTTAGCGCTGACCTCAAGTGGTCTCTTGGCATTAATGAGCCAATATTGACCACAGAGATAATGATTATGACCCTGAAAGGGAATCTGAATAATTATTCCCGGAGCGACTTACTTGGGCGTGGGGGGGAGCGGGTGTGGGGGTATCATGTGCATCAACCTCCCCGCACGCCGACGATGGTCGTGGCATCGCGTTTCACAGCCACCAGCGCCGTTTTGCTGCCAGGTTCGTCGCGATTTAAAGCGCGGCGACTCGCCGGCACGCGCTCGCACGGCAACGGCGCGCGGCGAGCCCCGGTGACCGCGCGCGGATTAACGGGCAAGTGGATTGAGTGTGCTTTTTCGGGCCATTCAATTACTGGGCACTTTGGTCCGGCCTGATTTGGTCCATAAACGGGCGCGGCTTAACAAGGTATACATTATACATTAACGGAGAGCGGAGCAAAGTCGTGTGCTTGCCTTGCGAGTCGGACTGAACTCAAAACACCGTGCCTCTGTATAAGGAATTAGACAATTTATATATGTATTTGTTTTATTTAACGACAAGCCCTCTGTTTATATTACCCATTATCATAATAATCATCGTCATCATCCATAAGAGGTTTTTTTGGGGTTAGATCGCGTAAATATAAAAGTGTCGTTAAACCCGCCACCACCCTGATACAGCCAACTTGTAAAGTTTGTCACGTATACAAAACGTGCAAATTCGTTATAATTGTAAATGTTTTGGGTTTACTCTCCAACACACAGGCGGTGTGCTGTACTAGTAACGAATTGTCACGTTTTGTTTACGTGACAAACCTTACTAGTTGGCCATGTGATCTAACACAAAAAAACACTCTATTATGGATAATATTGGTCGCGAAAATTACACTTTAAACTCAATAATAATCTTAATAATGTCGTTTAGCAGTGGCAGAGTGGTTTGTGCACTGCACTATGAACCCGGCGACCTGGGTTTGTATTGCCGGCCACGGAAAACATCAGTTGCCGGTGATATCTGAACCATTCCTGGGCCTCTGCCTTCACCAGCCCGTGCTGACCAGCAAGGCGGAGTGTGGTCAAGCATGATAATTGTTTTTTTATCCCTTTTATCTGGCAACAAAACTGACACCTTTTTTTACAAGGAGTCATGTTTGCATAGACCATAATACCTGCAGTCATAATGCAAACAAAAAACATAACTCTGATAATGTATGCACTGCCCTTGAAGTTGATTGGTCCACACCCGAGACAGTTTTTCTTAGAGCCCAGTCTCACATGGTGTTGGACCAGATGACGCCAAAAGGCGCACAACTCAAAGACAATGCACCATCAGAGTATGAGAGCTCGGGGTACCAACACCATATGAGACTAGGCTCTAAGGAAAGCTGTCTCGGGTGTGGACCAATCAACTTCAAGGACAGTGCATACATGATCAGAGTTGTGTTTTTTGTTTGCATTATGACTGCAGGTATTGTTGGTCAATGCAAACATGACTCCTTGTAAAAAAGGTGTCAGTTTTGTTGCCAGATAAAAGGGTAAAAAACCAATTATCATATTTTTTTTTACTGGCAAATGAGGTTCCAATGGTGTAGTCAAGCAACCACTATGACCGACATGACGAGGGGAGGCCCTCATTCAGCAGTGGATTGGCAAACGCCTGTAAATTAATCATCGTAATTTTTCACTTTAATTCGAATTTCATATCGCTTGAGTTGTTGCTCTGCAGACCGAGAGATTGATGATCAATGTTCAATCGTCGGGTTGATGGTGGCATCACTCACCATTTCTCAATTAACGGAGTAGGTCGCGTGAAGGCTGGCATCTCCCACTTGGAAATTATAGTGGTAAAATTAGAGCTGTGGCTCTACATCACCATCAGCCATGCGAAGAATGAGATGTTTTTGACAATTTAGAAATGTCCTATATACAGCAGATCTCATTTGGTAAGACCAGCAGAGGTCCCAATTGTGAGTTAAATTCTTTGGCATGTGTCGTGACGGATATTTCAAGATCCGACCACGTAGGTCCAGTGCTCGCTGAGCTGCATTGGCTTCCGGTTTGCGAACGAAAACGTTCTAAGGTCGGACTCATTACACACAAAGTCATTGCCAGAAATTAACCACGATACGTTGCTGATGTCTTCAAGGAGCATAAACCATCAAGCAAACTCCGGTCATCGTCGCATCGGCTGTTGGCTAACCATCGAACAGTCAATGCATCGCACGCTTTCAGATGCGCTTCTGCAGACGTCTGGAACGCTCTTCCTTTCGATATTAGGAAGACACTGGAGCAATGCACTTTAAAACCTAGATTGAAAACTCGTTTCTTTAGAACATGCTTTTTGTGTTTAGTTTGTTGTCCTTTCCCCTCACCTCCGATTAGCGTGGTAGGCTATGTATGGTTACCTAATAAGTTCAACATACACACATACAACATACACACATACAACATACGTGCGTACAACTCCTGGCTGGGGAAGACTCAAGGCAAGATCAGGTAGACCAAGATGAGAAGTGAGGCAGGGCAATATAAAAAAAAACTATTTTTTTTTTTTATTTTACTAACTAAGGCCCACTGAGCTGTATAGCTCTTTTTCAGAAGCGACCTGGCCACAAATGAAAGCTCAACGAAATGGCCTTATCACGTGGAAATGTATAGCAGCCAAATAATCTAAATGCATGTTTCTAAATGTGGAGGTGAAAAACCGTAGGACCCGCAGAAAATCCACACAACCACTGGAAGAACACGCAAACTCCAAATATACAGCAGCCGTCAGGGTCGGGATCGAACCCACGACATCCTATATATCGGGCGAGGTAGTTAAGATCTCATAGCCACCGTGATGATGAGCGAAAGCAACACGCAAACTCCAAACTAAACAGCAGCAGGCATCGTCAGGGTTGAGATCGAACCCACGACCTCCTGTATACCAAGCGAGGTAGTTAACATCTCATAGCCACCGTGATGATGATGGGAGAGAGACACGCAAACTCCAAATATACAGCAGCCGTCCGTGTCGGGATCGAACCCACGACCTCCTGTATATCAGGCGAGGTAGTTAACATCTCGCCACCGTGGTCATAGACTCCATGCCTGAGAGCTGCTGAGACTGGAACGTCACTGTGGCGGTGATCCGGGTGTAGAGTTCCAGAACAACAACAAAAACAACTCCTGACAAACACAGAAACGTCCACCGCTGGAAGTTGACCAGAGGAAACTGGAGCGTGGACTGACGTGAAGAATGAGCAGTCTCGCGATTGGCTGTCGAAACGCTCGGAGATTAAATTGCTTCGGGTTCGGAGAAGCGTGCTCTTGTGGCGAGATCTTTCCTTACCCACGATAATTGTTGATCTATTTAGGCAAAAGCACGGGCAGATAAACAGCATTAAATTGTGAATGATAAACCTGCTCATCCAAATGTGTTCGTGACATTTTGGCGCCCGCTGTGGTGAGCACGCGCGCCGTTCTCGTATTTCTCGCCGTGCCGCTGATGCTGAATGCGGAGCAACAGCTGTAGATTTTACATTGAAGTGGTTGAGTCAGATAATTGCATCGGCAGTAGCGGAGCGCACTGCTGGGATGGTGCCGCATTCGAAATAATTTGTGAATCGGCAATTGAGTCGTAATACGCTCCATGGTGGTGCTCTGGACGACCGATTTTTTTTTTCTATTTGTTGTCCTCGTCAGCTTTTATGGCGAATGTGTTCGCGGACAAGTTTAATCGACTAACGTATTTATCGAGGCGTTTGGGCAAGCAGCGTAACGTCGGTCTGAAGTGGGCTTTTCGCTCGGGTGCATCGGGAGGCAGACTCCAGTAGGTCCTGCGTCTCTCGCGAAGTGAAGGCAAAAGATCATTGCTCTGATTGGCTTGGCCTGCACTGTGGAATTGCGAGGCCTTTAGCTCTCCGACTGCTGCACCGGTGGATGACGTGGGTGAGGCAGGGGTGTGTGCTCACCCCCTACAATTTTCGACGCTTGCAGTAAGCATTATGCTCAGCTCTCGGTCTGCACGGGGCATCCTTTGGTCGAGTGAAGGTCACTGACCTTGTAAGGGTCACTGACCATGTGAAGGTCACTGAACTTGTGAGGGTCACTGACTGTGTAAAAGTTACTGACCTTGTGATGGTCAGTGACTATGTGTAGGTCACTGACCTTGTGAAGGTCACTGACCGTGCAAAGGTCACTCCACGCTTTGCTGCGGTGCTCCCACAGGTGTTGCGTACGTGTTTGCCAAGGCGTACCTGCTGTCGGGCGAGGCTCGCTACCTGGCGGTGTGCGTGCGCTGCGCCGAGACCGCCTGGCGACGGGGCCTTCTGAAGAAGGGGCCGGGCATCTGTCACGGAGTGGCCGGGAGCGCCTACGTCTTTCTGCTGCTCCACCGGCTCACGGGAGACCCCAAGTACCTGTACCGCGCGCATAGGTAAAGTCGGCACACACGCACGTGCATGCGTGCTCTCCGGATTGTAAGAAGCGCAGCAAAACGAAAAGTAAAAACACCAATACAACCGCCGTTCGCCACTAAGTGACGGTGACGTCACCACGGCGCCTGTGCCAGGCCAAGTGCACTTTGAGGCCACGTGACGTGTCGAAGGCTCGCTGACAGGAGGTCAACCCAGGTGCCCTGGGTTGACTGAGATGACTGGCAGATGCACCAGCTGTGCCCCCTACCGTGCCAAAAATACACACACGCACTCGTGCGTACGGTGTAACCAATGTTGGCCAAAACATCGCCAACTTCAGAAATTTGTACCTGCACATTAAGGACCCTGTACGCATCCTCTGCAATATCGACGTTATTGTTTTGTGTGCCATGCCGGCTTTCATAGCTTTCCCGCGAGCACCATTTGCCCCAAGAATCCGCTAAAGGCCATACGGGGCGACTCTGTCTTTGCTGCAGGTTTGCGGAGTTCATGTTCTCCGAGGAGTTCAAGGCGGGGTCACAGCCGTTGGACGCCCCGTTCAGCCTCTTCGAAGGCCTGGCCGGAACAGCTTGCTTCTTCCTCGATTTGCTACAGCCGGATAAAGCCGAGTTCCCCATATTCAGTGTCTTCACGCCGTGAAATGACGCCACAGCGTAAGGAAGGTGAAAGTCTGTGCCACGCTGGCGAGATGTTAACGGGTGCCACGGTGTGTCTCTCCCCGTGGTTTCTTCTCCGGCTCCTCCGGTTTTTCCCTCCACATTTAGAATCAACATGCGTGGAGAGCAGTTGGCTGGGATACATTTCCACGTGGTGCTAAGCCACTTCGTTGAGCTATGCTTCGTAGCCAGGTCGCTTCTGAAAAAGAGCTGCATAGCTCAGTGGGTCTTACCTGGTCAAGTAAAAGTAGTTTTATAGAAATCTGCGGAAGCTTTACTGCTCCCCCCTTTGGGTAAGAACGCCAGACTTCGGTTATCACGTGGGATGCCATGATGTGATGCTTCACGGTACGATATAAATGGTCATGTGGTGATCATGATGATGATTATCGTGATATTAGTTTCCCAAAACGTTGTGTCCTTTGCTGTACTTCCAGGACCAATGAATATTACTTAAACATTCTTCAACCGCAGTTCATTGAACATAACCCAGCCAAGATGGAACGTGGGACCAACGTTGTGGGAGCGTTCGTCTAGTGATTTCCAACCACATGCCAATGTTGGCCTCATATTGGTGTAATAAGACTCTTTGAGACGACTTCTGGAATCCGTCTTTTATTCACTTTGGGTTACATCTACTTCACGCTGCTGGTAGACAACGTGAAGGGACAGATAGACCGAGAGAGACGCACTGCCACGTGGCAACTCGGAGCCCCGCTCCCGCGTGGCTCCTTCCTTCGTTGGTTCCCGTTCTGACCACGTGTCGTTCCTTTCTACCCCTATTTAATACCCGGGTCACGTGGTACGCTTCAGCCAATCCTCGTTAGCCTGCGTCGAATCTTCCAGGCTCCCTCGTCAGCTCCCGGGACCACACCGCTGACTCATCTCCCCATTGGCTGAGGCCAAAGCCAGCAGAACCAATCTCCATAGCTGTCACCCTTCCATCACGTCAGGGCCATGCCCCCAGGCTTCTTCCCATTGGCTGTAAAGCAGGACCGGCAGAGCCAATCACCATGACAAGTTGTGATACGTCAGTGAGCCGGATATATTCTCATATTACATTGGCATATTTACTGGGAAGTCTGGTGTGCATCTTCTCATCATCGAAACTTTACATTCCTTAAACTTATAATGCCAATGCTGTCGGTTACAGAAGCACGCATCCTGCACATCCGATTAGCACGGTTGGCTACGTACGGTGCAAAAGAAGTTGAACATACATGCATGATCAATGAGAAATATGGCTTTTCAGAATGCTGTCATAAATGTCAATTTACAAATATTTTGTCAGAAACATGAGCTGTACAAAAAAGCAGCAAGAATATGATATTTAGCAAGATAGACGATACGATTATCATAGACATCATTTTGCTCGATGTATCGTGTCGTTATCAGCATATTGCGGCAACCCAATTTTCACACCGCACTTCAACAGTAACAATGATTAGCCTCGGGCTTGTGAAAATCAAATGTGAACACACCTGGCCGTACAAAGTCCGATTGCATGTTATCTCGACGAGTTCTTACCACTAACCCTACCGGGTGTAGCTCCTGTCCTTAAACCTGTCATGCATTTTCTTGGTTCTTTCGGTAAAGTCACGTAGAATGGAAATAATAAAATAATAAAACATAATAAAATCATTTTTTATGCTTTCTTTTTATCATTTTATTATGGAAATAATGGCAATAATAAATAATAAAAATAAAACATAATAAAGTAATTTATTTATAATAAAGTATTTTATTATGTTTTATTTGTATTACTTTATTATTTCCATTCTACTGTGACTTTACCGAAAGAACCAAGAAGATGAATCCCTGCAGTCATGAAAGCTTTAAATCGAAACTGTCATGCATTGTTCAGGACGAGGTGAATCCTGAGCTATTGAATATTTTCAATTCCACAAGGATGTGGTCCGTTACTATGCACCCTAACCCCACAGTGCTATTACCTGTAACATGCCATGGTGGCGAGATGCTAACTGCCTCGCCTGGTATACAGGAGGTCGTGGGCTTGATCCGAACCCTGACGACTGCTGTATATTTGGAGTTTGTGTGTCTCTCTCTCCGTGTGTCGTGTGGATTTTTCTCCGGGTCCTCCAGTTTTTCCCTCCACATTTAAGAATCAACACCACGTGTTTAGAGTGAGACTTTCGTGACTGCAGGAATCCATACTCTTTGGTTCTTTTGGTAAAGTCACGTAGATAGAAATAAAATAAAAAATATGTGACTTTGCCGAAAGAACCAAAGAGTACGTGTTTAGAGTATTTGGCTGCTATAAATGTCCACACGGTGAGCTATCATTTGCGATAGCCAGGTCGTTTCTGAATAAAGAGCTACATAGTTCAGTGGGCTTTACCTGGTAAAATAAAAAAAATAGCTTAGTTTAAAATAGTTTAGTTTTTGCGATCGGATTTGTGACGTTCAATCGGCGTGCCCTCTGGATCCGCAGCGTAGAATTTGACAAAACGCCTGCCTCAATGTTCTACCATGGGTCTGGTTTTTATCCTCGCATAAAATGCAAATTAGGCCGTTTTGCATTTTACAATAAAATACCAATTTGTTTCATACTCATTTTATAATGGGACTCGGAAGAGATGCCCGAGACTTTGTTGTTGTTGTATTATCATATGCACTTAATGATTGGTGAACTGCTGATAGGCGACTGAATCTCAAAACCGGTCCAGAGTTTGCTTCTGTTAAACCAATGCTGCTGAAAGAATTTACTCCCAGAAGGCCGTTTGTGGCTGATTGGATGTAAACAAAAAAAACCTGTCCTTTTCATGTGGAGGGACAGACATGAAAAGGAGGTGTATTCACTATGAGACCTCCTTTACCAGTGGCAAAATATAGTAATAGGTTTTTACCCTTTCAACTGGTACAAAAACTGACACCTTTATACAAGGCATCATGTTTGCAATAACCACGACACAAGCAGTCAAAATGCAAACAAAAATAAACAACTCTGATGATGATAAGTTGATTGGTCCACACCCGATACAGAAAAGCTGTCTCGGGTGTGGACCAATCAACTTCAAGGACAGTGCATATCATTATCATCATCAGAGTTGTTTCTTTTTGTTTGCATCTTGACTACTTGTGTTGTGGTTATTGCAAACATGATGCCTTGTATAAAGGTGTCAGTTTTTGTACCAGTTGAAAAGGTAAAAACCTATTACAAGGAGGTGTATTGTCTGCTTATTTATTTCGTCCGTTGGATATAGGGCCTGGGACAAACTGTTCCACCCCTTCCGCCCTGATAGGTAAACAGGGAATCATGGAGCATGGTGGCGTGACAAGTGGTGTTAGTTTCGGGTCACTCTCCGTATGTATGTATAACTTCTTTCCCACAATAAGTAGCCAATCGTGGTAAATCGGAGGAGAGCGAGGAAGGACAACAAACTCAAAACAAGGAAGCAGATTTAAAAGTGCATAGCTCCAGTGACTTCCTAGTATCGGAAGGGAGAGAGTTCCAGACGGCCGCAGAAGCGCATCTGCAAGCGTGCGATGCGGTGACCGTCTTTGTTCGATGGCTAGCAGCCAAAAGCTGCCGCTGCTGCTACTGCGATGATGGTGGGTATGGAGCATGGCGGCACGAGAGGTGGCATTGGTATGCACAGGGTTTCTCCACAAGGAGAATTTCTCCACAATTCTGGCTGTCGCCTGATGATGCTCGTTGTAATCACTGGCGAAACGTCGTACTCGAATTGTAAATGTTGTGGGTTTACTCTCCAACACACCGGTGTGACAAACCTTACTAATTGGCCGTGTCTGGTGGTGGTGGGTTTAACAGCACATTCATATTTACGCGATCTAACCCAAAAAAAAACGTACAGGTATTATGATAATATTGGTCGCGAAAGCCTACGTGTTAAACTGACAGGGTAACTTTCCGTCTGTATGTATGTCGAACATCTTTCGCACCGTACTTGACCAATGTGTGACAGCAGCAGCTAAAGTGATGATACAACGCTCCACCACTGGGTGTCAGACTGCCAACACTCGTGGACTCGCTCCCAAGTCACACGTTCAAGTATGAAAAATAAGAATAGGTTTCCACCCTTTCTGGCAATAGAACAGGAGGTGTTAAGATGTTCAAACACCAAATAGAAACCTTTTTCAAGGCATCAAGTCTGCATTATCTTCTTGGTTCTTTCGGTAAAGTCACGTAGAAGGGAAATAATAAAATAATAAAAATCAAACATAATAAAATACAATTCTCACGACGTTTCGGCCACAACACAAGCAGCCGTCCTCAGGTGAAGAACAGGGCTGAGGACGAAGAACAGGGCTGTCGACAGACCTGTTCTTCACCTGAGGACGGCTGCTTGCGTTGTGGCCGAAACGTCGTGAGAATTTAATTGTTTTATTTTTATAATTTTATTATTTCCCTTCTACGTGACTTTACCGAAAGATCCAAGAATATGAATCCCTGCAGTCACGAAAGCTTTAAATCGAAAAATGATGGTGGTGGTAATGGTCAGCCACAGAGATGTGGTAGTCGCCTAGGAGTTGTACAGATTTTTCATGAATCCGGATGAGTGTGGGAACCTCTACTCTTATAGTCTTCTGCGCCAAGTGCTTCATCTTTAGTCTCTCTCTCTGTCTAATTTGTGTCAATACGATGCGGAATAAAGTGCTACCTGCGGAGGTACGATTTATCCTTTGCGACAGACGCCGTGTTATATCTCATACGAGAAAATTAACATAATTAGCTTTATATTATTGAACTCTTTCCGTGGTTGTGGACCATTCGACGCAAAGCACCACTTTGGGCCTCGATAAACAGCGCGCGGGTGTGACGCGCTTTTACGAGCGTCGCAAGGCCACCAAAGTCGACTTGGTGGCGGACGGAGGGCTTTTGGCGAATGCCACCCCCACTGAACTCTGCCCGCTCGCTGGTGAGACATTTTCACTCTCTCTCTCGCTCTGAGCCATGCTCAGTGGTTTAGAATTTAACCCCCGAGGCGATGTTTCCTCCAGCATAGCTGGTTCACACTCTTCAGACACGTGCAGCCCGGTTTACGATCGTACACAGAATGGATGTACTATTAGGCCATACAATGCAATGCGACTTTGATGTATTGTGTATAGCCATCGCGATGCAAATGCATTTCACGATGTTGCGGAAAGGAGGTTTTTAAAAAAAAAAATTCTCTATAAGCTATGAAACAATTTTTTTTTAGCAGGTAAGGCCCACTGAGTTATACATCGCTTTTTTAGAAGCGACCTTGCCACAAATTATAGCTCAAAGAAGTGGCCTGATGTGGAAATGTATAGCAGCCAAATACTCGAAACTCATATTACTACATGCGGAGGGAAAAACCGGAAGACCAGGAGAAAAATCCACACGATCACGGGAAGAAAATGCAAACGGAAAATATACAGCAGCAGGCGTCAGGGTCAAGATCTGACCCACGACCTCCTGTATACGAGGCGAGGGAGTCAACACATCGCCACCGCAACACCCCAGGACTTGCACAGGGGCTGGCAGTTGACAACACGGACGGTTGGTGGAAGAGAGTTCTAGACAATAGGAACAGCAGAGGTGAGAGCGCAGTTTATAACCGAGCTGGAAATTGACCAAGGGCCTCGAGAGAAGGTTTACGTTGCTGGAGCGGAGAGTGCGTGGAGGGTGGTAGAATTAGGTAAGAGGAGAGAGGTAAGAGAGTGCTTGGAGGGTGGGAGAGCGAAATGTAAGCAGAGAGTTGGTGAATGCGTGGAGGGGAGTTGAATGAGCTGAGAGGGGAAAGCGCGTGGAGGGGAGTAGAATGAGATGAGATGGGCGTGTTAAGCGAGGGCGGGTCTATGGAGAATCGTGAAGGTGGCGAGTGTGATCTTGAAGTTGATCTGAGATTGGACTGGGAGCAAGTGGAGGGATTGGGATTATTGGGGTCAAGGGGTCATGTCATCTGGAGTTGTGGAAGTGAGGGATTGCGGGAGATATGAAGGACAGAGTTGCACTCAATGTTTAATGACTGCTAAGGGGCCGTCCATAAATGACGTCACGCACCTGAGGGGGGCGGTCAGACATTTGTGATGGGTGACAAGGGGGGGGGGGGTGAGAAATGTGACGTCACATCAAAATGCGCAATTTTAAATAAATATAGACAACACGTTCTACTTAATTAAATAGACTTTTTTTCTCCTACAACATCAGAGTGCAGCGCCAAATTAAATACGCACTGCAATGACAATAGCTTAAAGCGATTTGAAGCATGTTTTTTATTGGGGGGGGGGGGGCAGAGCTTTGTGACGTCATATTTGAGGGGGGGTCTGACTTTTTGTGACGCCGTGTGACGAAGGGGGGGGGGGTCAAAAATCGTTCAAAATCGCGTGACGTAATTTATGGACAGTGCCTAATGCAGCATTACCAGAGGGACTGGTAATATTTTCTAGATGTTTTTGTTATTGCTGTAAACTAACAAAAGTGTTGCTGAAAGCACACCGAGTACAACAATACCTTCCATGATCTCTATCTCAACACTTGAGTTCGGATCGATACATTATTATGATACTGAGCTTTTGGGAGCGTGATTTCCCCAAATTGCATTTCTGAGCATAAACCTTCACGTGTACGGTTCGACTCTCGATTATCCGCGTGCGGTTGATCGGATTTGCGGATTAACCGCGCACCTGAGATTTTGACGTAAACGAATAACTCGTGGATTTTCCCTTGTTCAAATGTATAATCTAAAAACAGTCTTACATTGTTTAACTTGGAAATGTGTATTACCAGTCACGTGCTAAAACCGAAAAAAATCTGTGCTCCGGTTCATCTGAAATCCACGTGATCGCCTCTACAGTACAGTAGTTGCATATATTTACATCAGTGGGTGTAGTTTGATTGATTTTGATTGGCGTGGCTCTGCTATCCACTTAGTGGGCCGAGTCTTCTGCACGGGAGCAAGAAAGTGTTATCACTGAGCACGCGCATTGATCGGTCAATCGTTAGTATTAATTCTTAATGTATACCTGTATTCATGGTTTTTGGCATATAAATCCACGGAAAATTGATATTTTTGGATTATCCGCGATTTTAAATTATCCGCTTCCGTCCTGCCCGTCATTAGCGTGGATCGAAAGTCTACTGCATTTGGAATTTCCCCGCAACCAGCGATTAGCACGGTTGGCTACGTACGGTGCGAAAGAAGTACAATATGTCATAATAATAATAAATAAAAGATAATCTCGTGCAGGTGTATCGAGTGCGTGGCCCCGCTCACCTTTCCCCGCGCGGGATTCTCTCCGACCTTGGCCGCACTCGCAGGCCGTTCTCCGACGGGAACTGGCTTGACAAGTGCTCCCCCTGGTGCAGACGCCCAGTCGGAGACGTTCCACCCTTTTCGGGATGACAGGACAACGGAACGTGGTCCGGGAGACAAAGAGAGGTTTCGGGAGGGAGGGATGATGATGGTGGTGGGGGGGGTGCACCAGGGACCTCTTGTCCAGCCTCTGTCCGTCGTGAGCGTCCTCTCTGAGTGTGACCAAGGTCGAAGAGCCTCGCACCACGTGACGTGAGTGGGAGGCTGTTACACTCCCAAGTTACATCTCAATTTTTATTGAGTTTTTTTTTTAACGGGGCAAATATATATTTTCCTTGCACATTAATGCTCTGCAAACGCACGACCCTGACGCCTGCTGTATATTTCGAGTTTTCATGTCTCCCGGTGTAGGCGTGGATTTTTCTCCGGGTCCTCCGGTTTTTCCTTCCACACTTAGAATCAACAACGTGCGTTTTCGAGTATTTGGCTGCTATAAATGTCCACACGATAAGCCCCTTCGTTGAGGCTATCATTTGTGCCCTGGTATACGGGAGGGCCTGGGTTCAATCACGACACTGACGCCCGTTTTATACATTTAGAGTTTGCGTGTCTCTTTAGTTTAGTACGTCGCTAACCACTGACATCTCGCGCATTGTTTATTTTTGGTTAATGGAAACTGCAAGCTTACGGGGCATAGAGTGTGAAGAGTAACCTTTGAACAGAACTGCTGATCCGACACAAAGGAAACATCAAATGAGCCGAACGAACGTGACCACTTTTCCTTGATGATTGCGGAATAATGAAGCATTCAACACAGCTCTAATGAGTATTAGCCTAATGGTGAACATTATTCTCTTTCTCTCGCGCCTAATTGAAGCTGTGGAAGCAGATAATACATTAGACTTGTAAATGGCCAACTCTGCGTTTGATTTTTTTTTCCATTCAATTATTTATGGTCCTCCAAATTTAACATTTTATATATATATTTAGCGTCCCATGTATGCATGCATATATTAGACACGGTCGACCGGCAGGTTGCGTGTGGTGTGGTAACGTGTGGGTACATCCACCGCTTTGAAGACATGTGGCCAGTGCTGAAGAGTAGAGCCAAACACTCTCTGGCAGGGGCTGTGTCTCAGCCTGCCTTTCGTGGGGGGCCTTTTTGTCAGAATTGACCTGAACGAGTAATTGCAGGGCTGCATCTTTATCGTTTACATATACAGCACACACAGACGTCCTCAATGTAATGTCTTGTGGTTGATTTCGGATACCTCAGCGTGGATGAGAATTTCATGACACGGACAATCCTAGCACCGAGTCCCTGCATCAAAGTGCTTCCCCCTTTTGAAGTCAGAATCTGAATCTTTGATCAGCATCTGTTATTTATCCTCGCGAAATCCGATGAGCTATGAAGCTCTTTTTGTCATGTCCAGCGACAAGTCACTCGGGATTGGAGTTGTTGTGTTTTGCGTGAGATCCCCATCTCCACAATTGGGGTCATTAGGAGGTTGTACGAATGGGAACAACACATTTGGAAACACATTTTGCGATCTTCTTTAAAAATAAATTGTATCGGTCGATACATTCCATTGTCGGCAGTGTTAAGCCCCAGCTTTTTTGAGGCTTATGTGAAATTCTCCACGCGGCACAAATGTCCGTGTTGTCGAGAGCAAGATTCCCAACCTTGCTTTTCAACATTCCGGGTTTTGCTGATACGCCAAAATCAATTCTATATCTTCCCGTGGCGTGACAACTGGAGTTTGAGCGGCTCTGCGGGTTTGACACTGCTTCAACAGCACCACGGAGAGATGTGTTGTTGGAGAGTGATCCATAATACATTGAACAAATGGGTGCGGTATTTTTTTTACCCCCCTTGACAATTACAACCGGCATCATCAGGCAGTTGTGAGAAAAAAATAAACAAAATTCGAGCAGCATTTGTTTAAGCGGGCAGACTCTGTACCGACTTTTGTTTTTCTTTCATGAGGCTCAGCAGTAGTGTGGCCCACTAAGGAATTGCCGTACTCGCATTGTAAATGTTGTAGTGGGTTTACTCTCCAACACACCGGTGTGCTGAACTAGTAACGAATTGGCACGTTTTGTTTACGTGACAAAGCTTACTAATTGGCTGTGTCGGGTGGTGGCGGGTTTAACGACACATTTAGATTTACACGATCTCACCTAAAAAAAACCTCTATTATGGATCAAATGATGGCGTTATACAATTGCCATGCCATCAGTCATTCCGATACACCTTTTGCAAAGCACTAAATTTGTGATTATTAGATATTTACAACGTTTAATAATCGAGTTCATTTTGTCGTAAACATTATCAAAATTGTTTTTAATATACATACTAAATTAATTAGTGCCGATAATCATGATATAATGATATATATTTTATAAACTGACGATTAGATTATCATGGGATTTCATATTGTACGACATCGTACTATTGTCGTATCGCATACACTCGAGTTGCCATCTTATTTCTCGGTCAGCAATTGAGTCTGTTATCAAAACTCTGCAGTCCACTGACTAAAAAAATAATAATCTGGATTTGAAGCTTTCGTGACTGCAGGAATCTATACTCTTTGGTTCTTTTGGTAAAGTCACGTAGGTAGAAAATAATAGTTCACGACGTTTCGATCGCAACACAAGCAACCGTCATCAGGTGAGAGCAACACAGCATGGGAACTCCCCCAAAAAAACCTTTACTACGGATAACCAATTGGGTTGCCTGGGGTAACAGGCGAGACCTTTCTAAGAATACCGTGGGACCCAAATCAGCACACCGCTTGTACAAATAGTTTTCTGCACAATTTCCAACCCCATGGTTTTAGGCGACAGGCTGATGAATTTTAAACCGCGATGACGATATTGAAAGCAAAATTTTTGCTAAATTCGTGTTCTGCATCGAACAAAAAAAATGTGCAAAAGTAAAAATCGATCTGATTATAGCTTTGAAAATCAATATGCGGCAATAGGGTTTCAAACTCTGCAGCCGACTGCTTACATCTCCAGGGCTGGCAAACATGATACTGCAAGGCCCTTAATCACCATATCAATATAACAAAATTGGATGTCATTAATTTTTCACATGAATAACATGCTTAATGACATACGTGCCGTAACGGCCGTCCATCCCCCCCTCCCCCACCCCAGGTCACTGATTCCCGTACCTTGGCAATTTCCACAAGCAACGGCATCGTCTCTCTCTCTGTATTCGCATGGAAATCGGCGGGGGCCCCGATTGATATGTGAAGTGCGTTGGATGCGAACTGGGTTACGTGCGCGGTATGCATACTGCGAGCTCACTGCTGCCGGCCCCCGTGATTTGCACGATTTGCCAACGCCAACTCGGAATTAGGAGTTATCAGCAGAGACAACCTCCACCCACCGAGGTCCGCTGGGGCCTCTTGCTGCAAAAGAGCAGAGTGCAGTTCGGAAGATGAAGCGGAGTTTGTCCACGCGAGCGCATCGTGTGATCCTTCCGAGGGCCCGCCCTTTGGTGCCTTGGCTTCTCCGATTCTCCCCGCACGTACGGTGCGAAAGAAGTTCGAGGTTACATCCGTGCATTGCACGGCGGCCGTTGGGTACCACCGGTGTCCGTTGGACACGGCAGACTCAGAAATAATTAACGAAAAATCCACTCCCATTAAGTGAAAGAATTGCAGGGGCGTGGGCGGGTGACGCGATTGCAAATGAAATGTGTTGACAACTAAAATGTCGAGCAATTATCAATGTTGGGTATGAGTTTTTTTATAACAATTGTGAATAATTACCCCCCCCCCCAAGGCGTTATGATCGTGTACATCTACAGGAAATCCGTGAAAAGAGCTTGAAAGCTCATTGGATTCCTCCAGTATATATATAAAAAAAATCGGATTCAAGCGGTCTTTGGACGAGCAAGCACGACGTCTCTTCTTGTGAAGTCGTACTTTAGGATCAGTCCGAAACATCAGTAACAACAACAATAGCGACAACTAAATTCGGAGCATCATAAATGTCCTCTCTAGGTCTGATTTTTTCTTCGAATTAAATAAAAGTTGGGAACACGTCCCCTATATCTTCGTGGTTCTTTCGGTAAAGTCACGTAGAATGGAAATAATAAAATAATAAAATAAAACATAATAACAGACAGTGTCTGTCTTCTCGACAGACCTGTTCTCCACCTGAGGACGGCTGCTTGCGTTGTGGCCGAAACGTCGTGAGAATTGTATTTTATTATGTTTCATTTTTATTATTTTATTATTTCCATTCTACGTGACTTTACCGAAAGAACCAAGAAGATGAATCCCTGCAGTCACGAAAGCTTTAAATCGAAACGTCCCCTATAGTTTGCGAGACGTAGTGTGTTGTCATTTAATGTATCCGGGCGTGGTGGCACACACGCGCAAACCAGCTCTATGGAGGCAAGGGTCGGTGGATGGCACAGATGTGTGAGCTCCCCTGAGGTACGAGGTGGCCCGGGAGGTGGCAGCACAGCAAGTGGGTTCGTGAAGCTGCCTTGTGAGTGTACTTTGCAGTGTAAATGATGACCTTTGGTCCGTACACAACGGGGTTACTCCAAATGATGTGGTTGTCTTCCACGTGTGCACAAACGGCCGTTTAAAAGGAATTGTCCAAACATTCCCATGCAGGTCCCTCCTTGAAAAGTCTTGAGACTCGTTGAGGTTTTGCAGGATAAGTAAATGAAATGACTATCATATATTAACTATAGGGGTGTCGCGGTGGCAAGATGTTAACTCTCTCTCTCACCTCGTATGCTGGAGGTCGTGGGTTCGATCCCGACCCTGACGCCTGATGTATATTTGGAGTTTGCATGTTCTCCCCGTGGTCGTGTGTATTTTCTCCAGGTCCTCTGGGTTTTCCCTCTACATTTAGAAACATGCGTTTAGAGTATTAGGCTGCTATGCATTTCCACGTGATAAGCCACTTTATTGAGCTATCATTTGTGGTCAGGCGGCTGCTGAAAGAGAGCTACTGTAGCTCAGTGCGGGCCTTGCCTGGCAAAACAAAGTTTAGTTTATGCACTCTTTCATTTAGTTAAGAGGTATGCACCATGTTCTGTTTTATTTGTTCCGTATGCTCATTAGGTCCAGTTGGTATACACGTCGGAATAAATAGCGAAGCGACGCAAACTCTCTCCTCAAGCCCTCTCGTAGCTGGCAGACCTTGACATTGGCATTTAGCTCCCGAACATTTCTGCCATACACAAGAATACAAATGAACCCCAGTGCATCTCAATGTCCCTCATTTGGCGTGACTATAATGAGTAGTCCAGTTCATTATAATAGCCTCTAAATGCTTTATTTATGTTCTCCGTGAATTGTGGGTCTACATATATTTCCGAGCACCCATTAATTAATTAGTGATATTGCCGGTTTCCCATGAATTTGTAATTGCATTTCCCCATGTGTTCATTGCATTGTGTTGGTGCTTTCGTGTACCCCAATTCTCGCATAGATCATGGTTGCTATCCGGTCAGGTGGTTTAGCGGTTGAGATAGTGGCTCGCACTCGGAAGGCGGCGAGTTCAACTCCTGTAGATTTGAAGCTTTCGTGACTGCAAGGATTCATATTCTTAGGTTTTTTCGGTAAAGTCATGTAGGTAAAAAAATTAAATTAATAAAAGTAAAATAAAATAAAAATCACGACGTTTCGGAGGCAACACAAGCTTCCGTCTTCAGGTGGAACCGTCACAGCCACGACAGCTGTATCAAGTAAATGAGAGATTACAAGAGCTACCACTCCATTATATATACGGATATATATACGGAGTGGTAGCTCTTATAATCTCTCATCTCTCATTTACTTTATACAGCTGTCGTGGCTGTGACGGTTCCACCTGAAGACGGAAGCTTGTGTTGCCTCCGAAACGTCGGGATTTTTATTTTATTTTACTTTTATTAATTTTTAATTTTTTACCTACGTGACTTTATCGGAAAAAACCTAAGAATATTCAACTCCTGTTTGTGGGCGGTGGGGGGTGGGGGGTGTTCACTCAGCCCATCATCCCTCCGGAGTTCGATTAAGTAAAATCAGTGCCACTTTGTGGAATAGTCAACAGTCGTTGTCCGGATTCTCGTGCCGGTCATAGCAACTGGGAATTACGATCATTGACTGAGGGCTGTTAACAATAGATGAGCATCTTCTTGGTTCTTTTGGTAAAGTCACGTAGAAGGGAAGTAATAAAATAATAAAAATAAAACATAATAAAATAATTCTCACGACGTTATTTTTATTATTTTATTACTTCCCTTCTACGTGACTTTACCGAAAGAACCAAGAAGATGAATCCCTGCAGTCACGAAAGCTTTAAATCGAAATAGATGAGCACTGACTCAATTACTCTTTGGTTCTTTCGGTAAAGTCACGTATAAAGAGAAAATAATAAATTAAATACTTTTTATTTTCTCTTTATACGTGACTTTACCGAAAGAACCAAAGAGTAATTCCTGCAGTCACGAAAGCTCCAAATTAAGTATGACACTGACTCAATATTCATTTGAGCAGGACATCGCTGATGTTTGAGTTTAATATCAAATCAAATATAGCATTTCCTTATAGCTGAATGTAAGCGATGTCAATTCTAACTATTCCCATCATTGGTTAGAGCCACCAATCTATCCGTTTAAGACACTGTTATGGTCAAGGGGTCCACAGAAAATAAACTTGGCTTTGCATTTCAGTCCATTCTTAGTCCAGTGACTTGGACATTCTAGTTTAAAATGTTCTTCTTTTCCAGCACCACGTATAGAAAATGACTCACCTCGATGTTGAGTGGCTGTTTTAAGTCGAGGTCACAAAACCTGCAAGCACACTGATCCAGTGGCGGCTCCTGCAAAATCTCTCAGGGGGGGCAAATGTCTGGATGATTGATAAGGATAAGGTCCACCCATGCAATGGATAAATTAACAGCTTAAGCATGTAAAGGCAACTTCACTTCTTTAATATTAATGAAAAATAAAGTGACTCTTACAATACATCTTGTTTGTTTCTATACTCACTATTAAAACAAACCACTCAAGTTTATTTTATTAAAGATTCCACTAGGTGGCAACAAATAATATTGTTGGATGAAACGTGCTTACGTATGATGACGTAAGCACGTATGATGACGTAAGCACGTTAGGGCGAGCCCTCCCGGAAGCCATAGAGAATGCATTGCAGCGTCCCCGTTCGAAAAAAAACATCTTTGAATGTAAGTCTATGGGGCCACTCGGGGCGATTCTCAGCTGGAGGGAAATCGCCCAAAAAGAGGCGGTACTCCACAGAACGTGACATGACGCTGATTGGACTATATCCAGAGGCTGCAGTGACGGCTAGCGTGACTCTGTGGTTCAATGACATTGGTGGTGCGTCGCCCAATCGCCCTAATGAAGAAACCGCCCCTGCACTGATCACCCGTCGGGTTTTAATGCAGTGCTATGTGCGTGTTGTTTCCTTGCTCATGGATTTAATTGCTGGGAATTTGCTTTTACATTGACCACTGATGTATATGTAATAAATCCTATTCAGACGACGTCTTGACTTCAGAGTTGTTTATTCGTTTCCCGTTCACAGCCTTCCACCACACCCTTGCCTCCCTCACGCTGCTGCCTGACAGCGTGAGAGAGACTGCCACGGCCCGCCACGTGGCTGGAGCGGGACCCCGGCACCAGCGTGGTTTCCCCCTTCGTTCCTCCGCACACTGACCACGTGCTGCCTTTCTCCACCCCTTATAATCCCTGGCCCACGTGATACCACGTAGCCAATCCTCAGCCACACCCCTGGAACTTTTCCGAAGATACTGTCCAGCTCAGGGGCTACGCCCCTGGCTCGACTCCCCGTTGGCTGCGGCTGAGGCCGGCAGAGCCTATCACTATCGCCCAGGTGTAACCTCACATTACATGTAGTTTTAACCCCAAAAGTGACCCTTGCGATATTTTGTGCTGCCTTTAAAAACACGTTCCTTCGGAGTGGGCAGGTAGAAACTTGGTTGGACATTGCATTCGTGCACGACAGAAAGCTCGCGGTCACGTGACACACTTCAACCAATCCGGGAGCGTACTACATGAATGGGAGGGGCTATGCACGACAGACAAATAATCCCTGGTGGGCAGTGTGGAACTGTTGTTCCTACCTGTAATACACGTACTGAACTTTCCAACACTGTTTTGAGCGGTGACGTTTGTCAATTGCTGGTTACATTCGCGCACTTGAGTAATATACCCTGTGTGTGTAATAACACTTTTTGTAACCTTGACCAGTGGCTATTAAACACTCATATTCGTGGCTCTTCTTCGATGTTTCGTAATGTCCACACATGTTGTCTGTGCGTCGTCAGTGCGGTGGTTTTAAGAGAAAATTTATCTGCGTACAGACATATCTTGAAGAGATAAAAATAGCAAAAATATGCACTATATTAATTAAAGCACGAACAACCTTCATTAGACCTCCTTTGCCAGTACCAAAATATAATAATAGTGTTTTCCCCCTTTTGTCTTTGAGCTGTACGCCTTTTGGCGTCCTCTGATCCAACACCATGTGAGACTTGGCTCTAATAAAAGTTGTCTCGGGTGTGGACCAATCAAATTCAAGGACAGTGCATACATTATCAGAGTTGTGTTTTTTTGTTTGCATTCCGACCGCAGGTATTGTGGTCAATGCAAACATGACTCCTTGTAAAAAAAGGTGTCAGTTTTGTTGCCAGATAAAAGGGTAAAAAAACAATTATCATATTTTGCTATTGGCAAAGGAGGTTCCAATGGTGTAAATGATCAGTGTGTTTTTTGTTTGCATTTTGACTGCAAGTATTGTGGTTAATGCAGACATGAATCCTTGTAAAAAGGTTTCAGTTTTGTTGCCAGAAAAAAGGGGGAAAACCCTATTATTATCACGAACAATCTCTTCAGACAAAACGCATCGCTCATAATGACAGACAAGCAGACTTGGAACTTTTCTAAGCCACGGAGGACGGCGATTCGATTGCCAAAGCTTGGGAACGCGTTAGCAAGGAGGAAGAGCACGGAGAGACGACGAACATATTGCAGCGATTAAATGAGGGCTTACGTTGAAACACACCGCTGTGCTTCGTGCTCACGGCTACCAGATCGAAAGCTTTTGTGTAACATTGGGCATTGTTTTAAGCTGCTATTCTAATCTGGTGTATGGCGGCAATGCGTTCGGGAGCAAAATACCAAAGTCGAGGTCTGCTAGCCACGACGAGAGGGCTTCAGGAGAGAGGGTTCTTCTGGCTTTGCTATTCGTCCAATGAATGCGCGCAGACTACAGCAGTTTACTATACGATCCATAGTTCTGGTCGCATGGTCACAATTGCACTACAGTGACTTGGAATTAATTTTAAATTCACGAATCAGATGTGCACATTGGCCTGTTGATGTTCTTTTGTGAAGAAATGCGATTCATAATTATTATTTATTTTCCAAAAATGTATTTCTATTTTCTTGGGCACCACTCTTGCAAATGAGGGCACCCTTCTGCCCAGATACTGGGCTCTCCTGTCCAAATGCTTAGGTGCCCTTTACATGGGAAATCTGGAAGCGGAGTTATTACTGAAAGTGTAGTGAAACACAATCCTTTTGAAGACATTGCCTCACGTACAAAGAGATCGAGAGGCTATATGATAAAGGGATGTGGCACCACAATGAAGAACTGCAGGGACGAGACTACAAACTCGTAGTGCCGAATATTGACAGCACCACTGAGTGGACAGCGCACCACTCCTAGAGCTCGTGGGTGTGACGTGGAGTGCGATGGGCTGACAGGGGCAGTTAACGGACAGCCACGAGGCTACCAGTTGAAGCAATTAAGGGAGTTTAAGAACAAAAAAAGGGGTGAAATTGCAGTTGAAGTTAAGTCTGGAGAGGAGGGGGAGTGGCGGGGTTGTGAGAGCTGTATGTGAAGTTATTGAATGCATATGAAGTATAAGAGTAAAAGTAACCACGTTACTAATTATTATTCTTGGATCTTTCGGTAAAGTCACGTAGAAGACTTTACCGAAAGATCCAAGAATATGAATCCCTGCAGTCACGAAAGCTTTAAATCGATATTTAACGTTATTAAGTGTTCCAATTATGGAGCCGTATATTTTTATTAAATTGTGTTATCCATTTGGGGGTCAAACATACACAATTGCCAGAGTATTTTCTTACTGTTCATGTAGTCAAATTTAGGGACGCTACATTTGGTGGCAAAACTGGCTTGGAGAGGAACTGTGTGGATAAGAAATGAAAATGTTATTTTCAAAAGATTGGATGTAGCACATATCCATTTACTGTTTAGGAAATTCCACATTTCTAATACAGAGACTAAGTTCGCAACAACAAACACCCACTTTGTGAATGTGTACTAATGCAGAGACACGCATAGGAGGCGTTATCCCTCTTGTACGGGTAGGAACCTCCTGGTTACACCAGCCCACAGGGGATTATTGTGTCCGTCGTGCAAGGAGGGGCTGGGTGGGGTGGGGAGCGTGGGGAGGGGCTGGTCACCCCGTGGTGCCCTTATAAAACTCAACGTTTAACCTACTCACGCCGGCTTGTGCTCGCCCTCACAGTCGGCCATATTTGCGGAATACACCACGCCGCCGTTGACCCTGGCCATTGACCGAGCAACCCAACGTTCCTACCAGCTCCCTCTGCAGGAATGTGTTTCCGACTCTCACAACAATAGGGGATAACTCCATACCAGGTCAGGACAGCCAACATGCTTCCAGACCCAAAGCTTGAAGAGATGAAGACCACGACGCCAGCAGCATGCCGAGTTCCATTCCCGATGGTAGCAGGCCCGGACTGTGAGTCGGAGCTCGCCTTTTATTCTCCCCAGTGTGGCCAGGCTCCGCCCTCGGCCACGCCCCCTTCTGGATCCCCCAGAAGGCTCCGGGCTTGGCCCACGGGTCCAACTGGGAAAGCGGGCTGCTACCCATAATCCCATTGTCTACCAATCTCCCAGCGCCACGCGCTGGGAGATTGGTAGACAATGTTGTGGAGTGACTCATGCAGCCAGCTATGGCTGCAGGGTTTTGGTAGTACATGTTGTTTATGTCATTTATTGTGAAAATTCCGTCACAGTTCTTATGATCACTGTTTCATTGCTTTCATGGCTTTATTTTGGTTATTTCGAAAAGTGTATTGGTTTAGCCATGTTTGTTTGTTTTAGTACAGAGTTAGACTGATGGACTTAATCTAAGTTGTCTTGTGGTTGTTGTTGTTGTTGTTTGACTTGCATCCCACTGGGATTTTTGCACACAGCGTTGGTGTACGGTGTTTTTTCTGCAATATTTTGCTGTCTTTTCTTGGATTTTCTGTTTGCACTCAGTCACATATTCACTTTAAGATGTTTTTTTGTTCATGTTTTTGTTTTTTGTTTGTTGCGGTTGCACCCGATTCAAGAGCCGAATGGCTCACAGGGCTATACATAATAAATTAACTTGAACTAACTTAAACTTGAGCTACAGTGACTCATTCAATGTCACTACAAATGGGTTAACTCTGAACTGTGTTATCTCCCAGCCACGGGTCAAGGCTGCCTGGTGATGAATAATTGACAATATAATTACGAGTCACGTATGAATTAGTGTGAATTTTTAGGTTCATTAGTTACAATGTCAGAAAGCAATGCACATTGTAAACAGTCTTCTTCCTATGGCTGATATTGATGTGGAAGAACAGCTACTATAAGTTTACACTGAGGCGATTGAGCCAGATAATTGCGTCAAGAGTAGTGGAGTGTATCGATAATAGCGGAGTGTATTTTAAACAGGAATAATTAGCCATGGGCAGAAATTGGCACAACCAATAACGTGATAAGGATTTCTTTATATGACCAATAATGCTATGACCAATAATGTTAAATTGTGCTTGGCTCTTTTGCCAAAGAGGTTCTCATGAGCATGCACGAAATGATTCACCCCCATCAGCGATTCCATAAATTATCACTTTGTGTGGCCGTGATCTGATTCAGGAAATTGTGATTTTGTCTCAATTTAAACATTTCTGTTTTCTAATATTTCTATTAGTTTTCGCTTCGGTTGTAATCGTCCGGTTCGCAACCGTTAATCTAAATGTGACATCAGAATATCGTCTCCATATAATTTGCATTGATTGTATAAATTTCTTAGACTCAACATTGAACGGATCTCTCGCGATCGTAATAACTGATTTCATTCGATGACTCAGCGCACCGTTGTGTGCCTTATAATTAGAACCGTATGAAGTACAATTGTTACATTTTTATTCTCCCACCTTTACAAAAATACAGTATTTACGAATAACGTTCGTTGAAGTTCACAATCATAATTAAAGTTCTGAAAAAATAGATGTTAGTGCTTTGTAAAATGTTCGTGGATTAATTGACGGCACCGTAGTTCTCATGAAGCCACGAATTTCCAACAGCATGTGCCTTGTACGCTTTGTCGATTGTAAAGTTGTAATTAATAGACGGCTTGTGGCAGACTTATGATTCGTGAACTGCAGTTTAATAGTTTAAAAAGTCAGTGATTTACTGCTCACATGCCCACGCATTGAGACATTGGTTCTCATTTCCTTTTTACAACACTGAGCCACTGGTGGACATTCCAAATTCCTATGGCAGGGACGAGTCTATCCGTAGGGAAACGACTGTTGGCTTCCCACAAAGTGGTGGCATTTTATCGACCCCGGAGGGAGGTATGATGGGCTGAGTGAACTCCCAGGCAGAAATTCACAACCTTTCGACTGGAAGCCTCTCCTCTCTACCGCTGAGCCACCTTGGCCGGATGGAATACACCTTGTCATCTGTAATTGTACGAGTAGTCCGGTATTACTTAAGAGCCGCATGGCTCACAGGGCTATACCTAATACATGAAACTTGAAACGTGTTCCAGTTCACTGGCTAGGTGGTGTTGGTCAGAAATGCAGTGGGCCCTATGGTGTAGTGTCTTGATGAGGGAATTCTTCTGTGCCGGGTGGTGGTGGGAATCAGGTTTCAGATATGAATCTGTGTGGGTGGCTTTCCTGTAGACAGTGTCCCAACGAGCCATCAGGTCTCTTCCATTTATTGTGAAAATTCCGTCACAGTTCCTATGATTGCATTTTCATTGCTTTCATGGCTTTATTTTGGTGATTTCGAAAAGTGTATTGGTTTAGCCATGTTTGTTTGTTGTAGTACAGAGTTAGACTGATGGCCTTAATCTAAGTTGTCTTGTGGTTGTTGTTGTTGTTGTTTGACTTGGGATTTTTGCACACAGCGTTGGTGTACGGTGTTTTTTATGCAATATTTTGCTGTCTTTTTTTGGATTTTCTGTTTGCACTTAGTCACATATTCACTTTAAGATGTTTTTTTTCATGTTTTTTTGTTTGTTGTGGTTGCACCCGATTCAAGAGCCGAATGGCTCACAGGGCTATACCTAATTAATGAATTTGAACGTCTCTAACAACACAGTTGAGAAGAGGCCACGCCTAAAGGGAAAAAAAAACTATATTCTAACAACACAGTTGAGAAGAAGCCACGCCTAAAGGGAAAAAAAACTCTATTCTAACAACACAGTTTAGAAAGGGCCGCGCCTAGAGGAGAAAAAACATTTGTTCTAACGACACAATTGAGAAAGGGCCGCGCCTAGAGGGAAAAAACCTCTGCTCTGGCAAGTGCAGAGGCGACATCCCTGGCAGGCGGAACAATCCCCGTAACAAGAATGGCCCGGCAGGCGAACAGGGCGACGGAAAACAAAAAAATCGTAAGCTTCTCGGCGTCGCTACGAGCCCGCGGACACCTCGCTAGAGTTCATTAATCGGCTCTGTGCTCTCGTTTGAGTACAAAAGAGCGCCCCGGTCAACCGGACGATTTTTTACACGGGCCGCCACGTAGGCCGCGGGCTTTTTGCGGTTTTCCTAGCTTTCACCTGGGTGGCTAGGGCGGCCTTTATCCCGTACGCGTACGCTACTAAAAACAACAATTCGCCGTCTACGTAGGAACTGTCACGATTGCGCGTATTTGCAGCGTCGATCTCTTATATAACGAATACCGTCTAGCAACAATTTCGACTTGTATCGCATCTGAAATGATACGGGTCATGGATAAATTCACTTTTGGACCAAGGCCTTCTTCCCAAGCGTCGCCAGGACGCTATCCCAGCGGCGATGTCACGATCCAAAGGGGATTCCATGGCTCCATCTCCCTGTGTACACGTCCCCTGGGCCGTGTTCTCTGCCCTTGGCTGAGGCTCTCTTCATTATTCTCGACCAAGAGTTGTTCTAACTCCACCGGGGCCTCCCGTGTCGTTGTCAAGCAAGGGTCGTTGCCCGAAACGTCGCACATGATATGCCTTAGCCTTTTAAGACAGTTCTGTTGCTGTTGTATGTGCGTTGAAGTTCTTTCGCACCGTACGTAGCCAGCCGCGCTAATCTTAGGTGGGGGAGGGGGACAAACAACACAAAAAGCAGTCCTAAAGAAACGAGTGTCAATTTAAATTAATTAAAAGTGAATAGCTCCAGTGGCTTGCGAATATCGGAAGGAAGAGCGTTCCAGACGGCCGCAAAATCGCATCCGAAAGGGCGCGATGGGGCAACTGGCTATTGACGAAAGTGTCGGGTTTTTAGTTATTTGTGCTATCAAAACAGATTTTTAAAGTTAACACTGCAGTACGGCTTTACACTGCGTGCGCTGTCTATTTTGCTAATGTTACCGATGTGCAGTATGACATGGATGAACTAACAACACGGGATACCGAAGAAATAAATGGAGTAAAAGTTGAAAAGTACCCTAAGAAGTGTGGAGGGGTCATTCCCGTGAGAGTTTTTTGTTGTTGCAATAGACCACAGGATAGACTGCCTCCTCGTCGTAGGCGTTAAGGTTGTAAATAGGAGGTGAGTATTATCGCATAATAAACTAAAATATATATTTTTACGTTATATCGCTTTAACCCAAGTGATAACTGAAGTCTGGCGTTGTTACCCAGGGGGAGCAGTAAAGCGTTCACAGATTTCTATAAAACTATTTTTTATGACTTTATTTTACCAGGTAAGGCCCACTGAGCTACATAGCTCTTTTTCAAAAGCCACCTGGCCACAAATGATAGCCCAATTAAGTGACTTATGTGGAAATTTATAGCAGCCAAATACTCTGAAACGCGTGATGTTGATGCTAAATTTGGACGGAAAAACCGGAGAACCCTGGATAAAAATCCACACGAGAGAACATGCAAACTCCAAATATACAGCAGGCGTCAGAGTTGGGATCGGACCCACAACCTCCTGTATACCAGGCAAGGTAGTTAACATCTCGCCACCGTGGCACCCCATTCGTGCAAAAAAATTAACACAGGAAACCCTGGGTCTCTAGACTCTTTCAGGGGGGTCCTGCACTGTGATATGTAGTAGGTCCTTTGTAAGGTGAAGTTAGCATTTGAGCACAGGTGTCTGAGACAGATGCCAGAAATGTCGTGGCAAGACATGATAAGCCATGCATTAGACTGGAATAGAACGTGGTAGGTAGGTGTTGTCGACATGTTTTGGCAAATACGGTGTGCTCAGGAGGATGTGGAGGATGGAGGAGGTGCTGATTGCCAAGACAGATATTGGAATGGTCTCCCACGAGTCTGGCAACCAAGGGGAAGACCTAAGACCAGCTTTTGTGGGATTCTGTCAGAGCAGAGATGTTGGAGATCGCGTATCAACTGCAGCAGCTGTGGTATCTGGAAGACGGTAGAAAGCATTGGTGCGGTGTCGGTGGCATTAAAGGCATTGGCCATGATGACATATTGATCCCTTTTTTAAAGGTGCGAAGAAATCAGAGTACTCGGAGAAAACCCCGTGCATAGGAGCGAGTAGCACTCTTAAGCTCTGCACAAATAGCTTCGCTTGCGTTATTGTCATTTTGCATCCCTTTGCGCTCGGGGGTCCAGATTCATGTATATCTGATCCACCAACCCTTAGTGAACCACCACATTGTTGTCTGCAACCAGCTACAGGGCCTGTCCAGTTGGTCATGGGACTGTTTGGTTTGGGGATGAGTACACCTTTGCGTTATCGTAAAATACAAATTAAAAAAGGTGATCCCTGCTGCAAACGAGGCGAGTTCCACGATATTGACATATTTCAGACACCTCAAAGTTGTCGGTCGTCATTAGTATACTCGTGAAGTAATTTTTACTTGGCATAATTCGGCAGCAGTAGATAGCTCCTGGCTGATGACGATGATGCCATTTAGAAAGTGTCCCCCTTCCCGTTTGTTTTTATAGGAATTAGGATGATTTTTTTAATGTTTGACTGTGAGGTTTCTGAATTTGTGAAACTGCCAATGAGTCACTGGGCGATGCTTAAATGCCACATTATTTGTGGTAGGGGCCACTGATTCTATAGGATGACTCCTGGTGACTCATTACAATATTTTATTTATTTTATAAATCCTCAGATGATGGCCTGGGTCAATCCCACAACTGGGATTTGAACGCGCAACCTTTGTTAATTGCATTTTAATGTATCTCAGTGAGCCAATACACTGCTTTTAACACACTGGTATCAATTAATGGAGTGCATTGATTTCCAATATGTTTATAAATACAAATTGGATTTGTTAAGCATTAAAATGCAGCTGGATCTCAGTAAACTATTTTCAGTTTCATTTGGAAGGTTACATTGCTGCATCTATGACAACTGGTGCTAATGTCACTTGAAGGTAATGAAAAACTAAATATTATTTTCAAAGGGTGGGCGTTTAATCGGCATGAATAAAAAACGTCATGGTATAGACTGAAATTAACCAAATTCCATTCTGTGAAGATGATACAGTGTGGGATTTTGGGGATCACTAGTGACTTCACGTTTTGAATATTGCAATGCATTTTGATTGTTTTCATTGGGGTCTGGTCTATTCCACAAACACGGTCCTTTCACACTGACGGTCAAGTTCAAAGTGGCTCCCTGCTGAAATCACCAAATGGGGAGGTACTCATCTCCCATTAGCAGCCCTCAGTCAGTGGTGGAAATTCCACTTCACCATGATGAAGGCCGGTCTCTCATAGGGCAACCAATCAATGTTTGTATGTTGAACTTCTGTTGCACCGTATGTAGCCAACTATGCTACAGTATTGCCTCGTTATTCGTGAGGGATACGTTCCGGAGGTGTTCGTGAATAGAAAATTTCGTGGGTAATGATATTGGCCTATGAATACCTTTTTTAAATCCTTTATATTAAGTTCGCTTGCTTGCTTGCGTGCTTGCATGCTTGCTTGCTTGCTTACGGCCATGCAAATCTTTCGGTTGTTTTTTAACCCACTTCCCGTGATCCAATCGAGCTGACATTTTGCACACAGACTCGTTTTGCGTGACAATTAATTTTCGTTAAAAAATTTTGCCAAAATTTTACACTGTTTAGGGAATTTTTTAATATATTTAATTACCAATTGCTTAATGCTGGCAGACAATCATCTGACCCATAGGTGGCAGCCATCTCAAGCCAGAGGACGAGAGGACTCTAGCCGCCACGCATATAAAGGATTTAGAGTGAAAAACTTTGTTTTTACGGGTAAATTTTTTTATCATTCATTCATCGCGCATAGTCAGCGAAGGGCTGTTGCGCTAAACGTGTGACCTCTTCCGACAGCGTTCGCATGAACTGCTCTTGGCTGCCATCGAGTGATTTGTTTGATCCATGGATCACTGGGGGGCGCCATTCCTTTGAGGGTCGCAGTCCACCTCGAACATCGACCGCCAACTGAAGTGCGCAATTTGCCGAAGTTTGCGCATCAAGAGGGGGCGACGTGTCCAAAAAGTGACTGCCATCTCCCTCGTACTAATCTTTCAGTCGCTGAGAAACTAGTCGCAGATGCAATGGTGACATTTCTGACGAAGTCGAACCATCCGATGCCAAGAAGGCGTCTTTGGCAACGCATGTGGAAGGTGCGGGCAGCCGATCCAAATCGGCCTGAAGCAATGTCCAGGCCTCCCCACCATACCGCAAAACTGACAAAATACCACACTGGTAGACCCAATTTTGGACCAAATGCGGTTCAGACCATTATTCCTGAGGCCAAGCCAATCAGCGCATGACATCAAGTCTCCATCAGTACATGGGTTTTCTTTTCATTAAAGTACCTTGAATAAATACGTAAATAAACTCTTAAATACATAAAAAATATAATCACACAACAACATGAACATTGGTTATCATAAACATAAAGTCAATAAATATTAAGTTATTAAATAAGTGTTTATAAATTAACTTATCTTAAATTATGATGATGCTTGACATTATAACTTTATCCCATCACTTTTAGTCCATGGGCCCATAACAAAGTTACTGGTAATAATTGTGTGCATGTTATGAAAGTTTACAATTAATAGAAGCAAAATATTTAAAAAATAAAAAAATTGACAAACTGAACAAAAAAAAATATTTTTGCCTGTCGTACCTGGCCTTAACTAATCATCTTAACAGGTACATTAACAATACATGGAGGGTAAAGTCAGTACTTCAGATATCTTTACTGAACAGAAATAATACAGAACCACCACGTCACCTGCCAGTAAGTGATCATGAGCAAACAAGCTGCTAGAAACAGAAGGAAAAGAGATAGCGCCAATCTATTCCAATCTTAACTAAGTCACTGAAATTGAAGAACAAGCGTGAATAAATGCAAGAATATGTATGACATACATGCCTTGGGGACAAACATCCATTTTGTAAATTATTTATTGTCTTAATTAACAGCAGAGGTATTGGAATGTTTTATTTGTAACGTCCGGGCAAATGGGCGTGATTGCGATAGGTGCAAAAACAGGTTTCCTGCGAGAAAAATGTAACAGCTGTTCATTTGGAAAGGTTATCGCGTATTATTCTACTTCTGTTGGTGTAACAAATAAAATGGCACCATTGAAGCTTTGCCACCTTGGGTGGTACCGATATCTCAAGAGCCGAATGGCTCACAGGGCTATACCAAATAAATGAAACTTTAACTGAAATCTGGTCTCGCCCAAGATAATTATTTATCTTGTCATTTTATCTCATCACTTTCTCGCATCACATTCTCTCTCATCGCTTAATCTCATTACTGTATTTCTTTCGATGCAGCCGGGTAGAGTTCCCTATGCGATTCGCAGATAGCCAAAAAAAAATGGAATTCTGTGTTCCCAAAAAGTGGTACTTAGTAATTTTCGATGGAATGATATGCTCAGTTGATCCCTGAAATTGAAACCTGCCAGTTGTGAGCCAAGCACTTTACCAAATTGCCATTCTGTTAAAATTATATTTAAAAAAAGAATACACTTTTTATTTTTCCAGGTGAGACTCACTGAGCTGTATAGCTTTTTTTCAGAAGCGACCTGGAAATTCATAGCAGCCAAATACTCTAAATGCACGTTTCTAAATGTGGAGGGAAAAAACTGGGGGACCTGTAGAAAAATCCACGCGATCACAGGGAAAACATGCAAACCCCAAATATACAGGCGTCAGGATCGGGATGGAACCCACGACCTCCTGCATACCAGGCGAGGTAGTTAACATCTCACCACCGTGGCCCCTCCCCCCATTCTACTAAATGAAGTCTAAACTTCTTAAACTCCATACAGTATTTAAGTGCTCGCCACATACCCAATGTTCCGTTGCCGCGTATGTCTATTTGTGTGGAATGTGTTAAACATGTGAAGACATGCAACAATATCACACCAACACTGATAATTCTTGCACGGGCAGCATCATTATAACACGTCGCTGAGCACGCCCACGTACCAGCGGCTCTCAATTGCATTGCAGACTGTCTCTGGGCTCAATTTGAAACGTTTCAGGTCCATTGAATTGAGCGTGGTGCATTTTCGTTATTTGCACATCTTGCCATTCAAAGAGGAATGGTCTACCGAGGCGTTTTTGTTTAGTTTACGCGACCATTAATTGTATACACCTCACTGCCACAAGAAAGGTCATTTTATACATTGAGGTTTTTGAATAACATATTCTCACGTGTAAATTAGAAATGTTTTTGCTGAACCAAGGCATACGGTGAAATATATTGGGAGGTATGTGGAGTGCAAGTCATAACGAGTGGACAAAACAACACTGCAAATTAACACATTTATACGACTATATGACGAACCGACGTGTTTAAATGACAGAAGTCGCACCTTCAAATTGACAAAACCTAAATGCCGCTAATTTACAAGTATCAAGCAATCTTGACACCACCTGAATTGACTGAAGCCTTCAACTACACTTTCAAGTTAAAGTCTATGCCACCGTAGCCTCTACATTTACTGGTGTATTGCATTCAAATATTTTGTTAAGTTGAACATGATTTTTATTTTCAAATCAAAGCTCTACCACCAAACCAATTTGTCAATGATTATGTCACATCTCCCCATTGCCCAAGCACCAAAGATTTTGAAAAGCTCACCATTTGGGTCAGAACTGGGTAAGCGTTGAAATCTGGTAAAAAAAAAAATAGATGCGTGTGGTTGGTGACGACACAGTGGCTTGCACGCAAATATGCGATCCTGTCAACCTGGGTTCTATTCTGGACGATGACTAGAAGTGGCTCGTGCACTCGGTCTGATCCTCTCTTGGGTTGACACGGCCTTAAGAGAGTGCCTCATGTGATGTGTAAACATCGGCAGAGGCGAAAACAACGCCAGCCATGCATAGCGCTGGCTTCATTTCCTCCTCACGTGCCGCACTGGGAATAATAGATCCTTATATTATTCTATCACACGTCCCTGCGCACGCCTATGTATGAGTGCCCTTGCATTTTGCCGCAGAATGATGGTCTCTGATGCTTAACGGAGAACCTTGTGTGTGTGTGTATATTTGTGCTGCAAGCAGAGTTCAGAGCTGTTCTCTCTCACATATGGAGCACTGGTGACTCAGCTCTGCAAGGACTATGAGAATGATGAGGACGTCAACAAGCAGCTGGACAAGATGTGAGTGTTTCCGTATAGAGCGCAAAGCAGTCCTGGATAACCTTCAAGAAAGACGCAATGCAAACGCCAACAAATTAGCTTTTCATAAAAACATACTGAGGCTCCGCTTTTCCATAGTGGTCTAAATGAACGAAAAGCCTCATTCATGGGAGAGAAAAAAATCATTTTAAGGTATGGTCAGGAACAGTGTAATGATCTAACTGGAGTCATGTATAAAAATACGGGAGTGATTCCAAAGTGAAAATTCTGTCGTGCACCTGGCTGATCTAATTAGATTTTCTGTAGAGTAAAGCTTTAAACTCATGTTGGACGGCCAGCATTACACTGCCTATATGCATATCTACAAGATAAGAACTGTTTGATTTTCACTTATGCCTTCTTTGAAACAATCACCACCGTATCATGACCGAGGTGAATTTACAGATGTCGACTGTAATGTGTAGGCCTACATCAATTTACATTTGTCAGCTCTGGAAAATTCCAAATTAAAGTATACTCTACTCTGATTGCTGGTGGTGTTTAATCCCTCCTGCATCCCCGGAACCCGGCTTCCTCCACTGCCCTGTCAGTTGAAATGTCAACAACTTGCCTGCTACTTCTCTAATTTCGGTCCTCTTGTTATCTGTTCCCTCTGTGTCACCAACACCACGACCAGCCCTTGACATCCCTCAGTCCGTGCCCATGAACAACATTACTACAATTATCTCCAACATCACAAAGTCAATTTCCTCACTGCTTTCCCAACTTGACCCAATACATTACCAGCTTTGCCATTGCTGCCTCCTTCTCATCCAGTACCGTTCCCTTTGTTCTCAAGACTACTGCTGCTGTCACCCACGACCTGACAAAACCCCATCATTTATTATGTATACCATGCCTCCCATGTATAGCGTCGTGGAACATCTCCTGCATTCCACATTTCCTCACTCTTTTACTGGACATCTGTGCAAAAGAGCTTCATAGCTCATTGGAGTCTTCCAGTCGAACAAAAAATGTATCTGACTCTGACTCCAGCCACCGCTGAGATCCTCATCCAGGCATTCGTCACATCCTGACAAGACTGTTGCAAGTTTTACCTCCAGCCTGGCCAAAGTCCTTCATCTGCGAACCCGGGATGATCCAGCATTCCGCTGTCAAGATTCTGACCCACACCCGTAAAAGAGACCACGTCATTCCCGACGCTGCAATCGCTCCACTAGCTCCCAATCCAGTCGTGGATCAGTTCCAAGATCGCAATCGCATTTCTTCGAGATTCCCCATGGACCTACCCCCTCCCCTACCTCTCTTCCTGTTATCATCTCACTCTGTGCTTGTGATGTAGGGCATTTAAAGTTGCCGATGCAGTTTAGTGCCCTATAAATGCAAATGCTTATCCTCTGCCCTCGGTGTTCCTTCATTCACCTCCGATTGGCACACTTGGCTACATATGGTGCGAATGGAATTCAACATGAATCGTGACTTAAAGCTTTCGTGACTGCAGGAATTAATATTTTTTGGGAATTTCGGTAAAGTCACGTAGAAGGGAAATAATAAAATAATAAAAATAAAACATAATAAAATTCTCACGACGTTTCGATTGCAACACAAGCAATCATCATCAGGTGTGAAAACTACAGCAAGAAAATGTCCCTTCTACGTGACTTTACCGAAAGAACCAAGAATATAAACATGCTTAGGTTGGCATTCGTCATCAGGATCGCTTGTGTTGGAATCGAAAACGTCGTAGTTTTTTGTTTATTTTATATTTATTCTTCTCATTAATTTGTACCTATCTCCGTGACTTTACCGAAAGACCCAAAGAATATTAAATTCAACATACATACGCAGTTCATATTGGCATATTGCTTTGTTTATCAATGAAGCTTCTCGTTCTGTACCTATTAACAGATATTGATGTGTAGCATCAGTGATGTTCACTATTTGTGTGAATACCTTGTGTCGGCTTTCATCCAACATCTCCCCAGGGGTTACAACATTGGTGTTCGTATCATCGAGGACTTTCTGGCCCGCTCTAACATTGGCCGGTGTAACGATTTCCGGGAAACGGCTGATGTCATAGCCAAGGTGGGAAATTGATTTTCTTGTTTGTTTATGAGAATTGGTATACACAATAGAACACCTCGTCCACTACCGTCTCCCCCGCAGGATAATGCCAGGAGAGATAAGGTGAGTGTCGCGTAACTGCGCTGCGTTGCAGCGTATGCGTGTGCTGTACTCCAGTGGTGATCAATACATGGATCGTACCTCCGATCAGCACGGTTGGTTGCGTTCGGTGCGAAAGAATTTCAACATACATACGTACATACACACACACAGGTGGATCACAAAAGGTTTTTACGTGGATCTCAGGACAAATCAGAAGAAATGCTAACGTGAGCTTACAATAGTTTTTGTTGCGGCTGATGGAAAGTCACAATGCCCGCTTTATGAATTCATACATGAATAAAATAATAACTTGTGCCCATAGATGGTGTCAGTACTTTTGGGTTATTGTATATCACGGGGGTTAAATCGAAGTAATTGTTGGCGGATTGTGGAGTCCGTTGAGATCCACCAACATGGATCACAGTGGGTGTGGAAATATTTTCGGAGTCGTTGCCCCGAGCAGACCCGTCTGAAGGCTTGCTTATTACAGTGAATGGTCTAATGGGCTCTTGAGGCAGCCTTGACGTGAGGCAGTGGAAGGATAAATAAGCGAATCTGACAGGCTAATGAGTTGATCTTGGGTCTTGTATTGGGGGCATAATCCTGTTAGCAAGTCTGTATGCTCGTTCATTATGACAGAGAGTGAAATAACATTTTACAGCTCAGAGCATTAATACTTTTGCTGGTTAATAACTGAACAATTCCACGTGTCTGATCCAGTTTTTCTCTTGTCACATGACTAAATGTCTACATGTAATGTATGCATTGTAATTTCGATGCAAATGCATATTCATTGAGCGGTTTACGGCAGGTGTTTTAATTTCCATGTTCCCACATTGATATCCCTTAGATCATCTCTCACCACGTTACAAAACAGTTTAACTGGTTAATATTGATTTCTTAATATCTACATTTTGCAATTTCCCTGAATTTAACATTTACAGCCCTTTGTCATTCCACTGCTGGCTAATTGATGAAGGCCTTCCCATACCGTGTCGTTCACGAGGACTGATTTTTACCGTACTTCACTGTGCTGCTTGGTGAAGGTTGAAGATTGGGCCCAGGATCAGCCCCAGTTATCACTCGCCACTGACATTAGCCGTGGCAATGAATCATCCTCGGGTCACTGGGCTCATAGCACAGTGCGCTAACCACTCCACCACCACTCACTCCTCTGTATGATATTACAATATGTATTGTTTATACAATGAGCAAAAATATGTCGGGAAATAAAATTGGTCGTAACCCTCTTCGGGGAATCGTTTTTATTTAGTAATTCATTATGAATTTGGTTCAAACTCCCTTTAACCAAAGCATAGTTTTGTTTAAAAAAAACATTTTGTCATATATATTTGTTTCTCTGCAGACGGCTTTTAAAATTTACTTGGGTGTGACTCCGACTGTGACCAACTGGAGCCCAGCTGGTGATGAGTTCTCACTGCTGCTGGAGACCAACCCGCTGGTGGACTTTGTGGAGCTTCCAGACAACCACTCCAACCTGGTGTACTCCTCCATGCTGTGCGGAGTGCTGCGCGGAGCCCTGGAGATGGTATCTCACACATTTTAACAAAAATCATAATTTTACAATTTTCATTTCAACCGGTAACGCTCCTCCACACCGTAGTCACTCGCTCTCGAAGAGCCCAAATGGTTCGGTGGTGTGTGCAACCACAGACCGGCAGGGAGGCAGCCACGTGGTGAGGAACCGGTGCCAACCGTTGCCAACCGTTGCCAAAGCTCTGCGTTCCTCTATATGTGAAGACGTTATCGGCCAATTCACGAGTGTTTACACGTGGGAGGAAACCGGAGTACCTGGAAAAAAACCCACGAATGCGAGGGCTAAACAATCTATCCCATACAGATGGGTCAGGTTTGAGTCCACATTTGCTGTACTGCATTCTCCTGGCGAGCCGGGCTATGGCACCGCGACGCTCACGGGAAGGGAGTTTAGCAACGTTTGTGTGAGCCGCCAAGCCTCGCCTCGGCACTGCTGGATTACAGACGGGCACCACCACCGCTTAATCATTGTTTACTCTTCCCATCTGAGGTTGAAAGCGTTATTGCATTCGCTCTATCCACCTGCCTACTCTGTCTGTGATATGGGGTTAGAGTAACTCTGGTAAGAGTTGATGACATGTAAATTGAAAGTTTTGGTTGGACGGCGATCACCTCGTTGGTGCACGGATGCGTCGTCTCAATGGGGAGGTCAGGAGTGGGAAATGGGCACAGCCAGAAAGTGGTCGTCTCTCTCACGTGTGGTATGATGAGTGATTCTCAACGTGAATGTTATTTCAAGCGTTTAAAAAAAAATCGTGGCGCAAGGCACACAGAGTGTATTTTATTTTAGAGTTTGCAGCTATCAATCAGAGGGTTGCGAGTTCATGTCCCAGTTGGTGGTCGTCGCGGAGCCCATCATTCATCCAGGGTTAGTAAAATGTATTTCACTGTGTGGGGAAGTTAACAGTGGCACTCCCACCAGATGCGCTTGTGCAACCGTCTGGAACGCTCTTCCTTCCGATATGTTGTATATGTTGGGTATGAAAATTTGTTATGTTGTATGCGTGCGTGGGTGAAATTATTATGTTGTATATGTGGGTTATGGATATTCAGTGGAAATAATAATAATTAAATGAAATTTGGCCAAATGTGTAATTATCCGGAAATATGTTAATTTATGTAATTACGCACATTTTAATTATGCCAATTCGAGAGGTAATCGTATTAATTATGCGAGTGGGTGTAATTATGATAACGCAAGTCGTTATGATAACCAGACCCCGGTTCACCCCGTTATCGCTTTAACATTTACTGAGTATGTATTAGTGTGTTTATTAAGGTCACCAAGTTCAAATCTCAACGCAGAAGCAGATCTTATGCATAGATTTCAGGAAAGAATCACACAACCACTTCTGTATTGATCAATTTATTACTAATTCAACCTTAACTATGATATAGTATGTGAACTCTCAATCCCGGAACGTCAATACGGCATCAATACAGTATCATCAACGATTGTCTGATTTCACTTTGACAACTGCACATGGATCCCGCATAACGCGATGGTTATTAGTGAGAGAGAGAGTCGTTAAAACATGCAAATACTATGCTAAGAAAACCTTAACGTTAATGAATGATTATACTCAATATTGTTCACGCAGTACCGCACTCCTTATTGATCATACGCAACCCTTATCACGTTGTTAACACCTTGGGTCACGGGACAGTTGAATATTCTGTAGAGGATGCGAGTACGTGCGGCGATTATGACTGAAAGATACTTGAAAGATTATACGGCGAAAAAAAAAACACAATCAAAAACAGTTATTATTCTTAAAGGCACCAATCTCAACAGATACATCGGCAGGTTATCTCAGAACGGCTCGGAGTAAGGGCCTGCGACGGTGCTCCTTTTCCGAAGATCGTTATCTTATACCAAGTTTACTAATTGGGGACCAGATCACCTGATAAGGATCCGGTGGGCCACCACTCCCCACGTGAGCGTGGCTCGGCGGAAGGAGGTGCCAAGAATCAGTTCGTATTGATGGATCTGTTGGGAATTTATGCGATTAAGAGTACAGCCCACTAAATATTAAAGATAAAAATTAAGAATACTCTTATAAACGACGGATGGCCACCACTCGGTCTCGTTGTGATGCCTTCCCAGCCACGGATGACTTATGGGTTCGAGTGTGTTTGAGTGGTAAGAGTTGTCTTGAATAGTCAGTGTTCGGAGTCGATTCTTTATGTCAAACAGACGCCTGGTGGTCGTGTGGTGAGGGGGCGGTGCGCGTCATACGTATCAGGCGCTCCCCTGTCACCGTGGTGAATTGGCTCGGATGGCTGTTGATACGCTGTCGCAGTTCGGAACCCGGTCGGTAGGTGGCGCCCACAACTCGCTCGTAGCGTGCAGCGCTGGATCGTCGCCAAGTCGCGACGCTCACCACCGGCGGCAGCGGAGATCTCCGGCGGCAGCAGAGATTGACGAGCTGAAGATGAGTCGAGCCGACCCGCTGGTCGCAGCTCGCTCCTGAGTCGACCCTCCCGGTCGAGCTCGCTCCTGGGTCGGCCCGCTGGTCGCCCTCGCTCCTGAGTCGACTCTCTGGTCGCACTCCTGAGTGGACCCGCTGGTCGCGCTCCTGAGTGGACCCACTGGTCGCACTCCTCCTGAGCCGACTCTCCCGGTCGCGCTCCTGAGTGAACCCGCTGGTCGCACTCGTTCCTGAGTCGACCCTCCCGGTCGAGCTTCTGAGTGGACCCTCCCGTCGCACTGGTTTCCAATGTTCAGGATCCGTTCCTTTATGCTGAAAAATCCCCCTGGATCCCGCCCACAAGGCGGGGCTTCCGATTTTTGCTGTGTCAGGATCTGTCCGTAGGCAGGTGTGTCCATGTGTGTGTCCGTATGTCCTTGTGTGCATCACTGACGGTATATTCCGTTGTCAACTCCCTCCATAAAACCCACGAGCAAACAACCAGATGTTACAAATTGTCTCGAAGTCGTCTCTCTGTCTGGGTGCAATTTATCTCTTGTCTGGCCTTCTTCATGAACCCAAAACACAGACGTTACAAATCGTCTCATAGGCGTCTTTGTTCGTGTTGCACAACCTGGGGGGAGGGGCAACACTCTCTCCGACCCGGCGCACAAAGAAATGGTTAAAAGTTTTAAGTTAACATTTGTCCCTTACTATTTCACAGTTATGATTCTGTATGTAACCTAAGGTCTGTCGTTTCCCATCGTGGTTCCCGACCCAAGTGTAGGTGTTTCCCCGAGCGTACACACACTCCTATCCCGCGCTGCGGGGATACAAAGACGGCCGGGATCTCCCTTTCTCTCCGACCCTGGGTTTAACATTGTTTTTTTTTTATTATGTATTTATATTCGACCTGGTGGTGATTCATCCCGTTATCCTGGCTTTTCCATAAGTTTAACTTTTGTCTTTCATGCATATACTTATTACTATTAATTTATTTCCGATATCTTAGGTTAAGGGGTAAGTTTCTTGATCCTAGGAATTCGTATTCCTTGGTGCCTGGATGGTTATATAAGCGGAATATAGTTTACGGTGAATAGCGTTAACATTGATGTTATGTGCGATATTATGTATTGTGATGTCTTTAACTTAACTTGTTTGTCAGGGCTTTACTGACACGAAGTTGCATTCCATAGCCCGCAGTCTTTGCCCCACCCTATCTCTGCTCGCCGTTGTTGTTGCCTGCCGTTAATTCAAGGCCTCATTAATTTCCGTCACCCCTGAGTAGGTGAGGGCGGTTGAACCTTGGAGTCAGTTCTGGTTTTTGTCTGCCTGCTTCTTCTTGTGTCCCCTGACCCCGGGAGTTATTATTCTACTTTATGGCCTGTCGAAGCCCCACTCGCTGTTGCTGGGCTGGTGTTGTTCCCGGCTTTTTGCTTACGTTTGCAGTTCGCCGTGCTCTTGATTTCCTTCCCTCTTCAACCTTATATTGACTATTCGCTCCTGTCTGGGTGCGATTCAATTTTGACTTAGGAAGGTTCTGATTGTCATATGCTTCGGGTCGAATTGTATAGAAAGTATTGAAGTATGGAAATAACATTTCATATTGACTTAATAATGGTGATGGTTCAGTAGGCGTAACTTGTGGCCTGGTTTAATTGGAGTGGGTGTGAATATCGATAACTTTAGCCTACCCTGTTGTTAAATTCCGACTTTAACGTTACTTTAATAGCAATACAGAATAATTGAGCTTTTTGTCTTAACTAGGCGAATGCGAACTTCTGGTGACCCCGCAGCCTTGTTGTTCAGCTGGGTCTGCCTCCTTGAGAGATATACACCACTCTTATTCTCGTCTCACTGTGGTCATCCAACCTTCTGCTCTGGGAGTGTTATTCTTACTTTCAGGTCAAAGGCCCCCTCACATCCAGACGCGCAGGGTTGTTTACATCAGCTCCCCCCCTGTGCACGTGTTCTAACTAGCTCGGAATTCCTGAACACACAATCAGTGATGATTCCTGGCTTTCTGTGGTTGTGATTTAGACAAAGGCGCCTCTGTTTTCTTCCATTGCCTTTGAGTCGACACTGCCCTATTATTTGCCCATGTGCTGAGGTCATAGAATTCGTTTTGACTTCAGTAATATTAACATTCAGTATTGGATTAGCAAATGGGCAATGGTTCATTGATGTAGCTCGCAGCCTGGTCTCCAGTTTGAGCGAGCGCGAGGATCGATAATTTAGCCTACTCTGTTGTTGAATTTCGAATTTTGACGTTACTTTAAAACCATGCAGGATGATTGGGCTTTTGCCTTAACTATGTCTGGCTGACACTCCCACTGTCTCTGCCGCCTGCACGGGTGACATGTGCCCGTTCATCAGGCCTTATCTTCCCTTGAAGCAACGTTGTAAATTCTGCCATCCTAGCCCTCCTCCGGTTCATTACTTAACAACACCTGGTGTTTTGCAGTTTGCTGCGCTTGGTGTGTTTCACTCATTAAAAAAACAAGTAAAAAGATAATATATAAAAATCATCAAATATTATTAATCTCAATTATGGAAGAAGGGTTAGTATACAACATTCCGC